AAAACCGTGGGCTATTGCAGCTTTATATTTGCTTTAGGATGATGTCCTGCCAGTTCACCCATCCACAGATCTGACCGTCTGTGATTGTCGTAAAAGATCAATTTTTCATCAATACTCTGTATAAGCATAGATCACTATTATAACGTGAGGTCTGTTTTTGATATCCGCTTAAATCCTGCGGAACCCATTTGTTCAATTGTTTACCCCGAATAAACTGATCGAGGTAGACAGGTACAGTATTTATACATACACGAAACCTAAATGATTACACCTGTGCATTTTGATGGCTTCCACGACAACTCTTCTTATTCGTTTGCGACGGGATCTCTCATAAAATCTCAATTTCGAGTTCAAAATTTGTCTCCCTTTTCGAATTTAACGGCTCACGATGCTTCTAGTAGTAAAACTTTATACGGGGAGTTGTTTCCGCTTCAGTAATTCCAAGATCAAAGTCATACGCGTAAACAACTCGATTTTTTTTTTTGTTCTCCATGGCTCACTAGAACTCGCCTGCCAGAAATCGAAGTGATGACGATCGAGTAAAAGGCCTCAGATTTCGAAGGGTACAAGTGCATACGGAATAAAAAAAGAGTGCTATGAAATATTGTACCGTTAAGGCTACATGATTTTGAAATATAAGATTTACATTTGTCACTAAACAACCTAATGTTAAAGCAACGTTGGCACACTATGTAAAGTAAAAACATCACTAGAAAATATTTAGCTTTAAACGTCCAAAAACGAATTACAAAAATCAAGAACTTTAATCGCCGCTGGAGAAAAATACTACATATGCAGTAATGTTTTTATCGTCTCAGTGGTTAAAATACAATGAGATTTGTATACCCTTATGAATCTCGGACCGATTTTCCCATCGGGAAGATGCTATCGACTACTTCCAATTCGATCACAATACCTCAGTACATGCTTTTCAAAGACACTAAAAATAGAGCAAATTAACAGAATTAATCCTCATCTATGTAAGCACACTTTCTTCATTTTTCACGAAGCTAACTTTGCCCCAAATACTAATATATTTGCGCTAAGATCGTTCACACATATAGGCAAGTTTTGCAACCAATCGCTGTGAAATAGCACAACTCTGTGATGACTGACCATAGGTAGCATCCCAGGCGTTACTAGCAAATAGTACAACGCATTTAGAAAATTTTAAATCCTTAAATCTTTAGAATACGCGCACATATGCTCTGCTAGCTTGAGCGACGTTGGGTCCGTTCGCCGGGTTTAGTCGCTAGTTTTCGCGATGGTACAGTGACGTATTCTGCCTGCTAACCGAAAGGACGTAGAAGTGTTCTAATTCTGAGACAGGTCGTTTGACGCGAAGAGCCAGTCGTTTGAAGCGACGTTGAAGCATTTAGTTAAGTTCTATAGAATATGGCCGTATAAGAAATATGCTTTGGCGGAAGAGGTAACTACTTGAAGCTTCCATTGTAGTTTCTGTTTGTGGATTGGCAGTAGTTATATGTTCTGTATTAGAATATATTTTTTCGTAGCGTTGAAACTGCATAGGGTTACATCTTCAAAAAGCAATGCTTTCTAAAGCTAGACGGGTCAGAATGTGAATCAATTGTACTTGGAATATTACTAACTTAGAAATATATATTTGCCTTATAGACACACAGGCGGACCTGCCCTATATCATAGCTTCTTTATCTTTCACGATCGTATTGCATAAGGTTTGACCTATTCCTTTAAGGAGATATTATAATACTGAAATCCAATGACACTTCTGAAAAACCATATTGGACCGACTTGCTGGAGAACTGTATCATAAGCTTTAATGTATTGCCGAACATGTAAAACTTCACCCCCTAATCTAGTTCAATTCGACGCAGCTTCACTGAGTAGTATTTGTATAATACATTTAATAATGGATCAGCTAAGGGAATGGATAGATAATTCATTCCCTAGCTACTACCTATGGATTCACTGTTACCTCTGATCGTGGCCTAACTCTTTCCGAAGTTGTCTTTTTTTTTTTGAAATTGGCTATTATTTGCCATATTATTACTGAAGTTTTACTTTCTCTGAATTTACGGATCGGAGAGTTTTGAATAAACATGTATAACTCAGGTTCAGCCGAATTTGTCAGTATAATTTGATAGCAGCTAAGCGCTAGTGTATCGCTGCAGACGCGCAAGGATGCGCTCTCCTATGAAAAAGTTCCGTCCATAATAGAAAGTCAACTTTGGCTAAAATCGACTTCCTATTGTCAACAATAGATCTGTTTAGGTTTTTTCTGTGCCGCTCTACCATGGAATTAAACTGCATTTTAAGCTAAATCTAGCAAATATGGTCTTTATATTTTCTGCGGTAGTATTACGTATCGAAATAAATATAGGCCTTCCGCACTACTATACAAAAGTCTTACGCTTGCCTTTATCTACTTTCTTTGCGATGCGCCGACGTTGTCGAGTTCTTTCGAAATAATCTGCCAGATTATGGAGGTCATCAAACAAATTCAAAAAATGTACATAACTTAAAGTGGAAAAAATAACTCTTGATTTAATAGGGGATTCTCTTTTTCACTAAATAAAGCAAACATCCAAGTTTAATAAAGCTTAATCAGAACTTAACAATGTCTCAAATCAGCAAAAGGTTCTATTCGTTTGCATTTTGGGAAAATAAGAGTTGGTCAACGCTTCGAAAATTTTAGTTAACCCTGTGAAAACCTGTTTATGGCATACGCACCATGTATTTGTTAACAGCTCAAAAAAGGTCCGCGTTTGGACTAAGCTCTCTGATTAATTACGCTTGACAACTTGGGCTACCGCTACTTCATGAAACAAATAATAATGTCAGTTGCTACTTTAAATTAAGTTGGATTTTTTTAAAATAATACTTGTTTATTGCAATTACCTTAATGCAGCTCGTATGAATATTATAAAAAAGTTATTAAATGTAGAAAAACAAAAATTAAGCCATCAAAATTTGTAGAAGCCTCTACATCGCGGGATTGTATACTTCCAAACAACCGCGGATATATCTGCCTTTGCATATAAAATAAACGAGGCCACAAACGACAGAAAGAGAGGCTTCTGGTCACGTAATGCATTTTGCCTCTATCTTAACGGAGCCCTTTAGCGGTGGGCCAGCTCCTCTCCGTCCTTAGCGCACAACGTGCAATACATTTTCGCCGTTCTACGTAAAGTCAGAAGAACAGGCAAATAAGGCAAGCGGTGAAAGAGTACTCAATAGCTTCGTCATGGCTGGCGTCTCCTCCCTTTCTCAGTTAATTCTCTTTTCGTGTGAAGGGCTGAGCTTTCCAGTTGTGTTGATGCTTCACTTACTATTAGTGGATTGCATCCAGTCGACTTTTCTGTGGTTTGGAGTTGTGGTCACAACACGCGCAAGTAAGGGAAAGCTGTTAGGCGTTGTCGCCTATCCCCTGTTCTGATCTCGTTGTTTTCGCAATGTCCTTGGGTGGGCCTTCGACAACGTGTTTGCCTTCGAGCAGGTCGCATTAAAAGTTTGCTTTCTCTGTGCAGTACTTCAACCTTTCTCCTTCAGCATGTTTGGTCGCCTCGTTGCTCTCACCTTCGGAAAATTCGCTTAGGTGTTCGAGCCTCTGTGAGCGGACGAAGTCGAGGGCATATTAGGTCCGGCGCGTGCGCCTTCCAGTTAAGATAAATAATGCATATTTCCGTGTGTCCGATGGAGCGGCTATTGAACAGAAACAATTCAGCTGTGTAATGCTGGCAGGTAGCAAAGAAATTTCGGATCTATGTCATGTACTTAAGCGGAATTTTTAAAAGAATCAAGCGAAATGTGCTGTTGTAGCGCGGGAAACTCTGGAGAGCTGGCTTACGCGTAAGTACTAGTTAGTAGAACAGAGTAACACCGAAAAGCTTTACACATTATCGCCTACAGTAATGCTTAAAATGATGAACGGCCATGGGCGTTGCCGTTTCGCGACTTAGACGGTAACAAGTATACGTATACGTATACGTATACGCAAGACCACTTATGGTAATGTTAAGCTCAATAGAGTTGCCATTCATTCATTCATCTATACTGAACCCTACAATAAACCCTGTCGAAGTTCATTATTACAAACTATGTCTCAGCCTAAAAATTCACCACTGTAATTTGAGTTCGGGCGCTGTGGGCCAGATTGCTGTACTCTATCCAAACACATCCTTCGCAGCTGAAGTCTCGCCCTCGCAAAAACACACGAATTCCAGATTATGCAAGCTTGTTCATAACTCATTATTCTTAAAGTAATTAAGAAAAAAAACATTAATTTGAAAAGGATACTCCTGAACCAGGTATTTTCCGAACGAAACTGGATGTCCTGAGTCCACTGGCGATGGAAACTACTGATGAAAACTTTTTCCGTGACGAAACGAAGGAAATTGGCCAAATCGGAATGGTAACGTTGGAGAAGTCTCCAAGAAGACTTAGTTGGCAGAGGGAGCATCATTTCGATAAACTTGAAGCATAAAAGTCCTCAGCTATATTTTCAAGCGAATCAGAGTGTCATCTATCGTCTTCTGTAAACCTATTCCAAATCCTAATATGTAGCTTATACGAAGAACTGCTGGTAATAATTTCAATATGTACTTTTAACTCCGCTGTTTACAGCCACTACTACAATGGATGATGTATGAACTAGTAGTATCATTAATATATCGAATTGGATGTGTAGACAATATTGGAGATTGAAACAAATTACAAACTAAAACTCGAATGTATATATTAGAGATCAGAAAATACTTTATTGTTGTTTGCAATTAAAAACTTGATAATTTTACACATTTATTCATGACAAGCTTACACTCCAGCTTCAGTGTTCAAAATCTTTAATTCAACACTAACCGTCGCCCCATATCGCGTTCTCCACGATACTAACATACCTAACCGGAATTTAGACCAGCTCACCAAACTCAAGGCTGCTATGGACAGTTTTGCTACGGCTTCTTGTTGTGTATATGTCTAAGGTCAGACTTTTGACTTACACAGTTTAGTATCACGTGTAATATTTTGAACTGTACAAAAAACAAGGAATACTCGAGGCATCACACACTTTTTGGTTCGACAAGTCTATCCGAACCGTTTAGATAGGTGTCTTTGATCTTTTATGAATGTTGGAAGTCTTAAGCTACGATGTAAGATACGATTTACCCAGATATGAAAAAATGTTTTAATCGGAATCAATCTCTTCAATTTCAATTTCGTCCGGTGGGACCAGCTCCATGACAATCTCCTTTTTTTCAGGTATATTTGATACCGCATCTTCATCTGCTTCGTCCTCCTCTGGAACAAATTTTTCACTAAAACTTCTCTCCGCTGGCTGTGAAGAAAACATTGCCTTCCTAACAAAAACACAGTCATTAATAACTTTCCATTGTTCCTGGGACAAGTTTTTAGGTTTTATCTTGAACATGTATGGCAATATATCGCTAACTAAAACATCCACCGAGGCTCCTTGGATGAGGAATTGGTGACGCACTTCATCTAAACGATTTTCGACCTTCTTGCGATCCAATATCGGCTTCTTAAACGTGCCAAAGTAAGTTTTTTCTTTTGGTTTTTCTAAATGGTACATTAGGCCCCGTAAAGTTGTAGACAATCCGAATGAATTCATGCATCCTGTGGGATCCCATACAGAGCCAAAATAATCTCCAAGGGAGAACCACTCAAGACAATTAGCTGCAGAGTCGATGCTAGCATAAACATTTGAGGCATTGTTATGCAGCATCCTTATGAAGAGATCCTGTGATACACAGGTTCGATCGAACACCGCTTCTGGGTTTTCTTTCAATGGAGGCTTTTCATAACATTTTAAATGAGCGGCCAACTCATGTACAACGTTATCTTCGCGCTTTGCATATAAGATCTTGCCCAACGAATGAAAGAGATACAATGAACTATCCTTCCGTGTATCTCCCCCTTTTTCCTCTGAAAAAAATGAAGATAATCAATCCGAGTTCTTTTTCAGATAGCTTAACAAAGGTAAAACAAAGTATAATTCAAACAAATCGCGTTAATACATTACTTTCTTTCATAACGAAAACCATCTTTTAGATTGGCGTTTATACATTCGCACACGGTACGCAGCATTAAAAAAAATAAACAGCTTAAGGCAAGCCTCAGACCATTGTTGACAAATAATACGATAAAAACAAATAAAATGATGTTGCACAAATGAGGAGCTGCTCTTTAGCTAGTGCTTATCTGGCAATAAGATATATTCTAAGCTTAAGTTTATGGACTACTCTAGCTATTAGACTAGCTAAATTTGCCAATATAAAATCGTATTCAGTAATAACAGGCCTAAATTGCTACGATGTCTATTAAAAATAAAGGTCGCCCACTCAAAACAAAGTTACTTGTCTTCACGGTATAGAGACAACAAACCTTCGTGTAAATAAGTGTTATAAATAAGGGCAACAACGGGTTTTCCAATGAGAAAATTGCAACGAGATTGCCAACTATGTACGAAGATCTTCTATTTTATGTAATCCATTTGTATCCCAGTGCCACTTCCAAAAAAATTTTCGCAGTTTCCAGCAAGAGCTGCGGAATTTGTATTTGCACTTCTTCAAGCCTAACCTATTGAATTAGGCATCAATGAGGCGTCTACAGTATTCCGCACTGCTATAACAGTTCTCATAAACAAGAAAAAAGATGTAAACTCATGTCTGCATTCTGCAACCTTTGAAAAATGTCAGTAATAGGACCATAAATACGATTTTGAATGCTCAGCAATTGATCTCCAACAATATAGTTTATGTGTTTGTTCTAAAGGCCTTATACCCTTCAATCATCATACACTCAGCATGACTGGATCTTTCACCGTAGTCAGTCAGTCAGTCAGTCAGTCAGTAAGCTTTTTTCAAATTCCCAGTTTTGTGTCTATTTTGTCGGGCCTGAGAAAACCAACTACGTTCGAACATGCACTACTTAAAGCTCTCTAGATTAGACTCTAGCATTTACCAAAGGTGAACTCAAAGCGTCTACACTACGTGGACAATTTTAGTTGCGTATAAGTAGTTACTGTGCTCTCGCGTACGTTTGTTTGATTCGTTGATACTACATCCGATACAACGAAAAAAATAACTCGGCCAGCTGCTCTGTCCCATCTACTCGGTTCTTTTTCCGCGTCCGCCTAATTCTTCTATTTCAATGTTCCGACAATACTAGTGGCATGCCCTAGGTGTTCCAACACCCTGATCTAATACAAGCGCATTTGTGTTACACTCAACCTAACTTGTAGCCTGAGTTCATATTTATATTCTCTGGGACTTTCGATGCAGCTGTGCTAGCATTATGTTTCGTCAACCGGTTTCATCTAGTCTGACTGTTGCAGTTATTCTACTGCAGAGTCTGATTCTCGACACGCAGGATCCCTCACGCTGAAACTTGGTTCGCGGCTGATTTCACATCCAGCTTGATGTTAACGATAGCTGAGGTATATACTAATGCTTTTTTCCTAGCATTCCGATATAGTGATTCTAATTTCCTGACCTGGTAAATTTATTACCTCGTTTCAGCGACACTTCGTTACCTTGTTTTATCTACAACACGGCCCCATTTATTCGGTGTTCAAAGTTGATTACCTGAAGTTTTGACACTAAACCAACAATCTCGTCGTGAAAAGTTCTGACTTTTTTCTTTTCAATACCTGTTCAGAGTGATTTTTTCGCAGCCCACAAGAAAAGATGACGAAGTGGCGACAGGCCTGAGAAGCTAACAAGGGCGCATTGAACCCGATTTAACAAACTGTTGCCAGAAAACTTGCACATCACTACTTCGAGGGTCAGATGACGAGAAGAAAATGTAGGCGGAAAAGACACCGATCGTTAGGTAGATGGAAACCGTAGAAACCGTCGGAAGCAATACTAAACGGCATTAACGAAAGTAAAACTGGAAATATCAATTAGTTTAATGGAGATTAGCTCGAGCGAAAAACAACCGGCATAGATGTTACTTATAGAGCTGATAGTCGGGCACTTTGCTTGTCACTCGTTTACGGGCAGTAGCGACGAAAGAACAAAGAAGTCTCTCACGGCCAGCGCTTTCAATTGATGTCGAGACGACGCGTAGGGGCTTATAAGCCATCAATCGTCGTTCATTAAGGCTTTGGGTCAAGGTTTTTCTTGTTTGTGGTCTATTTGCTCTCAGGGCTAAACGCCGTTAGTTACGGTGGCTTAGCCGTTAGTGTTTGACTCGTCAACTAAGCTCATTAGCCTCATTCGTTTGCCAGGATGAGCTGTTGGACTACCCGCCTGTTATTGTAGGGGTCGTAAAACAGCGCTCTTTGTCACTTTTCTGCCCAGGCTCACCTGGGCGAAATAGGCTGAAACACCTTGAGGTCAGTTAAATGATAGGTCTCCGAAAGTGCAGAGAGGGTTGGCTATTAATTTTAAACAGCTTCAATTCGTAAAGCAGCGTCTGTCAATGTTTTTGTGTTCATCTGTGTACATGTTCGTAGCTAAATCTGCTCAAGTATTGACTAAAGTCATTCCTCAAGTGTCTTCCTTTTCCTAAACACGCGAGTCGTGGGCTATATTTTCCGCAATACCATATAGAAACAAGAATTTCGGTATTTTTTGCAACACGTTTACTTACCTTTATTATTTTTCTGCTCTTTCTTCTTTTTTTTACAATCGAAATTCGTGACGATTTTGGAGTCTCGCATGCTAGCTATTTGCAAAAGATTAACTGCCATGCGCAAGTCTCCATCGCAATGCTGTATTACTGAGTCTACTTCTGCTTCAGCGAGATGGCGAAAAGCCGTTCCGAACGCCTACATCATAAAAACCGCTATTATTACTAATATTAATCAACACATGCTCCTATAAGTCAACGGGACAATAATTGCTCTACTGAATACAAATCAACGAGCGTTTAACGACTCTTAAGTTCTAAATACAGATTTTACATAAGGACAACGGAGTTTCTGTAAGTTACCACAAATGCGTTACCATAGCTCAAAGTTTCGGTCAGCTACTTATTTTTTTCTAGAATTAGGTGCAAAAACCAAAATTGACCGCTGTACCTACCAAATAAGCCTGATGGATAATGCCTTTTATAGCTTTTCTTAGCAATGTAGTTGCAACAGGGTTGAATGAGATGCAACGTATACCCAGTTCAGTTTTTAATTCCGGCGGAAAAAGCTTAAATTCTCGCGAGGACGGAGTTTCACAGAGGAGAATCACGAGAGAACAACGACCTGTAGTAAGAAAATCCGCACAACCATCGTCTTAATAATACACAAAATACCACATTAATGAATCCGAGACAAATAAAGCTAAGCGGACATAACGCTACTATACAATGCCTCTTCCCTACTACGCCATACACTAATTAGTCTTTCATATATTCATGGTACGTTTTTTCCAGCTAAAATTCTTTCACTTAATATCCATATACATTTTTAAATAAATAATAGTCAGTCGAATAGAAAATGTATACTGCTGTCGATAATTTTCTGAAAAACAGACAAAAGAAAAATATATTCCGCACGCAAAATCTGTTGTTTGGTCTTTTTTTTTTTGTTGTTGGTAAAAGCAAACATTGTGTGAGTAGGTAAATGTGAAAAAATAAAGGCTAATCATAATCAACCACTTCCCGTATTGGAGAATTTTACTTCATGACAAATTGGAACTCCAGTGTCAAATTTGATAATTATAACGTCAGCTAATCTAATGATTATAGGTGGATGTTACAATAGATACGGTTTTCCTACCGATAATAGGAGTCTAGGCGCCTTTCAGTGTTTCTAAATAAGATTTCTTAAACTCTGACATTTCGTTTATCTGGACTTTCTAGGATAGCTTGTTCTATTTGAAAATCCTCAATTTTTTATTTATTTATTCAGGTATTTCACCACTGCTAGCTGAGATACATTTTCACAGTGTAATTAACCAATGCAGTGATTACTCCTTTAATAATGATTGATGTAATATGTTTATATTTCAAAACAAGGTTGTTTGGCTGCCCGCGATGTACGTGATGCTCTATGGAACCAGGAGTCGACTCACGCAATATGGCTTAAGTGAGCCGACATTATATTCATAGAAGCCGGAGTTGTCTGCGTGGCTAAAGCACATACTTTTGATAACATTACCATGGTAACCACAAACATACGATCAATTTCGGTATCGACAAATGTTCATTATGCCATTTTCAAATATGTTGGAAAAATCGTACATAAACAAAACCCTCCTTGGCAAATCTTTTAGTGGGGAAAATTTTTGTTCAGACGGTAAGATAAGTCCAAAGCGAAGGGGAGGTATGTTTCGATAATTCTGCTACTTAATATGTTAGAAGAGTTCAAGTTGCCTGCTGATCTACGCACAGTTTGCACACGCGCATAACACACATGTTACTTCGCAACGGTCGAAGTCACAGTGTCTTGCGCTTTGTAGCCTTTAGCATGTTGTAGAAGACCTGTACAGACTCTTCTTGTCCTCTACCCACCAATTTAGCTAACAAGCTTGTGGCTGTCACTCGCACGGATATGTCCTATCTTCAACATTAAACTTTTCTCCCCAGTCATCAACTGCTTGTGTGGGGTCTTCATAATATACAACTTATACTACTACGTAGTATAACTGTGCATGCTAGTACACTAACATGCTCCCTTCAGTACTTACTGACAATTATTTTTAGCAACGACGAAACGATCTTGATGTCAACCAATCGCAGCAGGGCCCAGAAAGGAAGAAGCGTTAAGAAGCAAATTTTTTATACACGACCCACTGCCTCTTATTACTCCATTAATCGCCAAACTGCATCATGTTGCCTGACAAATGAGCGTGAATAACTGGAGTGTGCCGGTCACCATCGCAAGTACTTACTCTAAACCCTTGCATATGGTTAAATTGCTTTGATCTCTGTCATTCAATAGCGTTTATTGATCATGGTACGGTGAACGAGATTGTACGTCGACTTCAGGCTCCAAAGGTCGATAAAGAAAAAAACGTTTTCAACGCCTATTCTACCTCACCTTTTGCCGAAGTCAAAAAGTTGTCGAGTATGTAGGTTTTATTTACTGAGAGGACTCTAGAGGTAAGAGTATTGCTCGACGGGATTCGGTTCAAGGGTAAGGTTTCGGACCTGAATAATACAATCCATTTCGGTTGGCCATGCAAAAACGGCAAAGATCTTGAATACGAAACAACTCATTAACAGGCCGAAAAGGTGCACTATCAACATGAAACTATTAGAGAGAAATCAAAAGCTCGGGTACATCATAGACTAGGTAATGTGCACAAGAAATCATTCTAATTCGCCCTCAACGTCTTGTGGCAGTGTGGCAGACACTATGATTAGCTTCTACACAGAATTGTTACGGATGGCCAAGAGTGGTTTCGCAATGCCTATGTGAGATACAGACATAAACAGAGCTTCGAAAGATATGCCTAGACCCAAGGTTAACTCCAATTTACATCCCACACCATAATTTGCGCTTGATAAAATTGAAAAAGTCTGGAAAAGATTAGGCTATTTACGGAAAAGGTCGTTAGCGCGGTTCTTCTTGAATTTTGTATAGCTCCAACGTTCTCCAAACCTCAAGTCGACGGATTACCACCCTTCTTGACCTTTAGCAAATTCAATTTGTAAACGTAAATTTGACGAAAAGGACGATGTTAAGAACTGGATGAATGAATCCTTCAACACCAAGCCTGTAAACCTCTGGCGACAAGGAATAGCTAAACAGGTTGAAAGACGCTAATGTTAAACAACAAGCTAATTAAAGAAAATAGTTTTGTTGTTTGCTGATCTGTCTTATTCTTTCTTGCGTGACATTTCGCTAGAACCGTTTAACTAACGCGTGCTTCAATCTGAACACATTCGCACTACAGCAAAACCTTGGTCTTTTCTAAAGCCTAATAGGTTTCAAACCTAGGCCTTGGTTCGAGACCTATTAGGGCCACCTTTTTTACTATCCAACATTTCTTGCATATTTCAATTTTGCGATAATACGCTATTTGTCGTGGTAGCTTTTTTCTATTATGTAAAAGCAAAATTAACCCATCTTTAAAAACCAAGCATTTCATCAATATCTTCATGTACTGTTGCAATTGTTCAACTTATCTCAAGATAAACCCTACTTATCACATTACGCACAGCTCGATTCAAGACTATTAGTATTAAACTTCTTTTGTCGCCATTGCACGATTCTCATAGTAGGGTTCTTCTATTCATTTGAAATATCGTAATGAATTAGTTTAGCTTAGTTACTTTAGGCACCCCATAAACTATCTTTCATGTGATTAAGTAGAACACGAAGCAACACTTACAGTAAAATATCTAATACAAGTAAAAATCGAAACTTTTTGTGAATTATTTTTTGCTTTTCGGCTTTTTTCTATTCAAGTTGCACCTTGTTGAAGTACCTCAACAGAAGAGTAATATGATAAATAAAATAAGTATTATATTTTTAAATGTAATTTAAATAATTCTATGAAACGCAAATTTCCAGTACGTTAATATGAGTAAACCTACCAAACCTTCTATATTTTCTTAAACAGTCATGGAAGTCCTCGGTGTGCTTAAGAAACGCTGAAGGAATATCTTCGAGAACAATAATTCTACGGGAATCCTCCTCAAACAGAGATTTATACCTGAAAGGTAAGAAGCACGTGTAGCGTAAGGAGAACGCTAAACCGACTGTGTTGAATGAACGTCTGTTATTATCGTAAAATACAAAAGTAGGTACAGAGCTGAGTAAAAATAAACAAAAATCAGGTTTTGTGTCCGGAAAAGCAGTTAGTTAACAGATGAAACAGATGACGTTGCAATTCTGAGCCCACTTTACTTCTAGCTATTAAACCTGTTTTCTTATAACTGTGACCTTACTTCATTTTACACGTAGGGTTACGAAATGGCCGGTACATTAAGAGTACGATTATGGATACAAAAATTAAAAAAAAATGCAATGAACCTTCTCGATCTAATAAAATAGTAAATCTTATCTAAATCTGAAATAATTTCGGCTGATGGATGTGCTAACAATCGAAGTTGCTGGGTCAGTTTAACCCATCTCAAGTAGTTTAAATGCTTGTGACAGGAAAAGCCACCACTTTCTTGAATTGATTGATGACAATTGACAACACATGGTAAACACAGTGGATGCATAAACGTTTTATGAGAGCGAAAGAAAAATTTTATCTAGTATATTACCTGCTTCCTTGGAAAAGGAATTCAGTTAAGTTATCAATAATTTTCTCCCTCGGCGCTTCATCCCAACTTACGTATTTCCATCCATCCTCAACGTATCCGCTGGCTCCTACCGTCAACTGGAATTTATTCACCATAAAATAAGAATACGGTAAACGTAATATTATTGGTATAATGTTTATTTTGAAACATTAAATTATTTGCCACATCATAAATCTGTTTTTACCTAGATCTTACTTTATAAGCTTTAAAATAATCAAGTTTTTTTGGCCTCGAATTGTGTCCTAAATGAGATCTCTGACAGTACACTTCTTTGGCTTAGTCTAATATATGAACACAGATGCGTGGCGCGTCTAAATGGAGAATTGCTTGGTACCTTGCTTTTGAGATTGTATCTAGACAAAAATAGATATTTTAAGACTTAGTTCTGCTTGCGGGGAGATGTCGTATCGTTCCTAAAAGTCACGTCTGTTAAACATAACTATCGACGGTGGTTACAGCTTCAATTCGCACCATACTCCGTTCCTTTTTTAATCTGCAAGTAACTCTTCAGTAGGAGCCGTCCATAAACTGATATATGTAAATGTCAACTTGGCATAGCGTCGTTTAAATACGCTACACAGAGACCAATTTGGGACTCACAGTAGGCTGAAGTTCTTAAAAACGCATAGGGTCGAAACTGCCGAAAATTCAAAAGGTGCAAGAAGTTTTAAGACGACAAATTCTTACAGTTTATTTTCTCAATTGAGCTTTAATATTATCTTGATCTTGATATATTGATTGATATTATCTTCTCTAAAATGGCCGTTATATTCTGCATAAAAATTCGGGTATATCAAGAAACAATTTATAAACCCCATTCAATTATTTTTTAGCCTTTGCGAACTCCTGTAGTGGTATCAATGGCGAGACACTAAAGTCAATTATCAGTATTTTTCGCCCAGAAATCACAAAGGTTCCGCAGTGGAAGGATTATGATGTAACCGAAAAAACAACAGAAGATCACCAACAAAAATGATGCGCGCTTAGTTTAGTAATATTCTTGTAAACATAAAAAGTGTTTGCTTTATATTCGGTTTTAATACTTTTTCGACCACTCAATTTGTATATATATATTTACGTTTGTCAAGAATATCCCGTTGGGGTGTTCCCGAACCTGGTCCTGGTTCCTCTGTAGCCTCATTTAAAATGCTGTAGACCATTTATTAGAGAATTATTACAAGAAGCTTTTCGCCATACGTGCACGGCGTATGTACATCAAGCACATTTAAAAAAAATTTCGGCCGGAAAAATACAACGGAAACTTCAGAGCTCATCTATACCGTTAAAAAGCGCAGACGCAACAACCGCTTTATTTCGATCAGGTCATTAACGAAGAAATTTCAGTTACCATGTCCGAACGGTCATGAACACCTCAAGTATAAGTCGTAATTTTGGGAAAGCTGACGCCTTCCAAGGCCAATAAAATTAAGGTCGCTGTCATTTGCGTTTCTGCTTAGCGAAGGAACAGGCCGTCTTCATCTCTTTTTCGACGACAAAACATTTTTGATATAACTGTTAGCTGTTGAAACGGTCTTTGACCTGCACACAAATCAGAGGATGTGCTTGCTGTGTTTGAAAGCAATTTATCAAGAAACTTGGAATTTGATGTTCAATGAAGGATAGGTTATCTCAGCATACTTTTCCTGAAGAGGTAAAAACATTACCAGCAAGCAAATTTAGCTTACGTGTTCTAGAAAATTTTACGCGACTATGAATTACACGTCTCCGAGAACAATAGTGCATCCGCTTATGCAAGCTTGTTAGAGCAGGACTGGCTGCTTGGGCATATGGTCGTCTTCTGTAATAAGCGCATATGGCCGCTGAAATGCTTGTTGTTTTGAACCAATTGGATTTATTATCGTTCGTAAGGAGCTGTTGAACGAGTTTCGGTATGACAATGTCCACTTGCTCACTAGAAACCGTGGGTTGGGCCCGAATTATACCGAAATGGCTATCAGAAGTGACACGTTTAGCACGTGCAAAACAGTTGAAATGCAAGCTTTTGTCTTAGAATCAAAAGAAGAAAATTGTGACAAGTATTTTTTGCATTTCTACATGAAACCAAATGAGCAACATTAAGGAAATTATGTAGAAACCGAATCTGAGTTCTCTCAAATTTCTTGTTGGGTAACTAATAGTGTATGTGTTTAGGCATCGTTACGACGGCTTTTTTTGTTCCTTAGTTCCGGTCGACTTTTTCCGATGGTTTATTGTAATCTTGTTAGTTGTTGGCAGTAAAGATCTGGGTAAATTGTCAACGATTCCATTCCAATACCACTTAACGTATTTTGTTTATATGGTTTCAAAGGCATCTAGCTATAAAAGCGGCCGACACCCAATGAGGTCGAGATGTGCCAGGAAGTTCTCTACTCAGCTTATAGCAACAAATTAATTTACTATGTATTCGTCATTACCCTTCCTGTTCCTCTTGTATCAATTTATTTTTACTTTCCAGAAATTTATAGGCCCAGTACTAAAGAACTCGCTTTTGTTACGGCTAAAATATACGGTTACAAATTTTACCTACTACTGATGAGAAACTGGGGTAATCTATAGGCGTGAGGTTTGTAAAATATGATGGGTGCAAAATATCTTAAACTCCTGCAAAGCGGCGGTTACAACCTCCACCATGTGCGACCTGGCCTTGTCATGGAGAAATGAAGTTTACCTCGTCTATTAGGTTTTTGCTGTTGGTTAGGCCCATTCGATCGAACCAACTGCCATTTATAGATCCTTCTCGGCCATTTGGACTCTCTCAGACATTTCCCAATGCATACAAGCCTTCCAATTCAATCAAACACAAATTATGGCCATTTCGAAGTGGAGTGTGGTGTTAACTCGGCGTCTAGACGTATCTTCCGAAGTTATGCTTACCTATATTCTATTACGACGTAGAAATGCCACTTCTGACAAGCTGTAACAAGTCTGCGTAAAGACATACTATGGCGACTGCGCGAGATGTTGAAGGCGAATTAGAAGCAGCACTCTCTCACGCGCTTTACCCACTTCATGTCACACCCAGGCTTTTAATACATAATCAACTTCCGCAGACTCATAATGCCTGACAATAGCCTATGTTCGCAGCTTATCTTATTGGCCAAGTCATGAGTGAGCTATCATCCGAGGACCTCATCGACTTTGGATGGCCGAAGGGTCTGTCGGAGCAGGGGTATACCCAACTAAGATTCCATTTTGAGACGCAATAAACTCCTTCAGACAATCTTTTCTGTAATCCAGTCCTTGCTGTACATGGCACGAATGGCTTAAGATTATTCGACAGTTTTCTGCTGACAACAGTTTTGCTGAAAGACAAAATAGAACACTTTTCCACCTGAAGCCTCTGTCTTTGGAGCCTAAAGTCAACGCGAAATTCCGTTCACCAATCGTTGAAATTATACAATTATACAAATGAAAGCAAGCACTTTTGGATGGTATACTGAAGTAAAGAAGAAGAAAAGCAGACATCTAGAGAAGGTTCTTACTGACGCACTAATTTCCTTCGCTTCGCGGCCTAAAGCACTCATCATAATTCTGAAAATATTCCTTGTTTAACCTGCGATTAGCTCTGTAGTAGTAACCCTGCATCAAACACATCTGTGAGTGCACATGCATTAAAACATCGCTTGGAAATAAATTTGACGCTAACAGCACGCCGAAATATCTAAAATAACCGCCGAAATAACCAAAAACTCTAAAACCCAAAAAAATAGTTAAGTTTTGGAGCTAATGCGAACGGCCCAATTCATAGTAGATATTCCCCTTTCTATTACAGCGGCCAGCTTTCATATAAAATATCCGTGATTATTAAAAGTAGCCTTTTGTAAAAGTTGGTGAACCTAGAAGCTCTTTTAACTTAATTCCTATTGACAAGCCTCCCTTTTCTCTAGTGAAATATTTTACGCACATTTAAAAAGTTGTGCGCAAGTTGGCAATAACGTAAACCGTTATTTTCGGGCAAAAACACCTTATGATTTCTGTGCTGTTCTCACCTAGCTCCCAAACAAAAAAAACGCCTGATTCCATTATGACGCATTTGTGATTTTCTTCTAGAGAGAGATGGGGTGCTTTCATTGCTAAGAATAACTGGTGAATAGATTCGTTTAGCCAATTAGATATATTTTTCCGAAAGTTAATTGCTTTCAGTCATTGAGTGGGACGCTAATTTGGGAAAATCAAACCTTTCCAAGATTTGCTCGACTAAACGAGATTGTGATTCATACCGAAATTATCAGGAATTCATAAACTAACCTAATATTAAAAAAATCAATTAAAGTGGTGAAGCACATTACGCTAAACAGGGTAGCAAGATTCCAAGGAAATTTCAATGGAATAGCGGATGAGATTGATTTTACATGCACAGGTGGAATAAGGTTTGTTTATGTGTGTATTGGCTATTTTAAAGTAGAGGTCAACAACTTATCCAACGAAAAATATCCGTTTAGTGTGGAAACGAACAGGAGAACGGGACAATTCGGAGCGATAAAGTAAAGAAGTCACGTAAAAAGTAACGCTGTAATGGAGCCATAAGTTAAACTGTATGCGATGAGTCACTCGAACAAGGAGATAGAACAACTGCAGCAATGAAATGGGTCCACTGAATAAAGATAATACACTAGCCGAATCAGGCAAAAAAAAACTGTGAACTAACTGCAACGGAATAACGGACTTGAAGCTGCGATTTCTCAGGAGAATTGCAAGCACGTTTATGTAAAAGTGAAGGCCTGCAATGGAACTACAGTTTATACTAGGCTAAGTGTAACACGAGCTAAATTCGTTCACATCAAAGTGGGCTGATAAAGTAACTGTCGAAAGGTGACGGGTTAGACTGAGCAGAGTAATTACAGTGGGGATTCTTTTAGTTCATAGAATAACTTCTGCTGCTATCAATCATTTAGAATCACGAGTCCCTCTAGCATTATCTGCCTATATATGTTTATATATTCGACGTTAGCAAATGTGTATATATATATATACATATACATATGCATTTTCCCAAATCCGAATCAACCAATTAAAAGGACACTTTTTTCTTATTGGGATCCTGAGTTTTCGTTTGTCCTCTTGAAAAGGCAAACCCTTAGAGTCGCGAGCATTGACGGATCGATGCGAATGTTTTACTTTTTTTTTATTTTAGTAGAAGCCTCCCAAGAGATGGTATTCAGAAACCTACTCCGATAAACAAATCAAATTTTGGGTTTTGTCCTAGATCTTTTGCGAACTAGTCCTTTTGAGTCTAACTTAACGAAATGCATTTGTTGAAACTCAATAACTTGTGAAAGTTGGCGACTTTGACCTTCCATTTATTTACTGGTGACAAATAATTACACACCTTTTTAAATCGCGCTTTAAAGTGTCTCCGAGGATAAAATGTGCAAATATATTCAGCGATATCGATTAGCGCGGTATTAACGGAAAAATGAAAAAAATGTCTTTTTTGACTTCAATAATCGATTCTATTGTCTGGACTTCCGTACATAACTTATATCCTAGTTACCACAGAAACATCGTTTAGGAATCAACTTGCTAGCTTGCAATTTTCCCACGAGTCGACCGTAACTAAAAATGGCATGGCAAAAAGTGAGTGAAGTCGACTATAAATATTTATATTACATCTTACCCTCGTTACCCTCTCTAGATACCTGGTGTAATCTTGAATTATATTTCTGTCTATTACAGTTCATTACGTGGCTTTTTACGTATTTTAAACGAAGATGGTTTAGGCTACACATAATAAATATTAATGCATCTCCCGACTGATTTTTCAATATGGTGACACTTTTTGCTATTGTCGTTGTTGATTTTATATATATATATATATATATATATATATAGAGTTCTCTCATATTTCTTGAATTGCATTTTTACGACGAATTTTACGGCCTGTAGCCGGTTGTGCTTAAAAAACGAGTACAAAAAAAAAAATACTTTTTTTTGTATGCTCCGCCCAAATTCAATAAAAAGGACCGTTGCTAGAAGCGCATAGTTTTGAGGTACGAAATTTGGCTAACTTAATATCAGTTATTTTCTACTCACTTCAACAGGTGCGATTTCTGGTCTGTAGCTTGCTTACACACATAAAGCTACTTAAGAATTACAGAAATGCTGGTGTCTCTTACCAGTAACGCGTAGAACAGAATGCTAAAGGTTATATTAGGCCAGTTTATTAAAAAACTACGTCATATTTTTTGCATCTCATAGATAGGCCATAAAATAGATGCTACTTGCAAAATGGACTATTACATGACATTGACCTAATCTTCTTATCTCGAAAAGCGACATACCGCCTTATATACACAGTAGGTAATACTTCTGCGAACAACAAGAATAAAAACAAAAATCGTCGCATCGACAAATCTTATACGAAATTTGTTATAATTTTGTTAAGATATAGCGAATATTGTCTTTACAGAACATTTGTGGCAGATTTTAGATCAACATTCTAGGTACTTCACGTAAGATAGTAGAAGATAGCAGAACTGTTCTTCGTTTTTATTTATTTTTTAATCAGACAACTTTTAGTTGTTTTTTTGGTTATTTCTATTGAAAAGTTTGGAATAAGGTTCTGCGTGTGGACATCACGAGCGCAAGTTTAAACAATATAATTTTTTTGTCCACAAAGAGCACTTTTTTTAATTTTACATAGTAGCCATGGTAATCGATTGCGTTGAAAATGTATGCCAACTTTGTCGGATAACTTTCCAACTTCAACAGACCAAAGAATTTAAGTAGAAACATTTAAGAAAAATGTCAAATGTCGAACAGTTCTGCGGTGCGGTTACCCATATTTTGACGACAAACCAGGCCGCAAATGTGCGATATAAACCCTAAATATGGGAAAACTTATAAAATACAGAAAGTGCCCAAAGCTAGTACCTCTGTATGCATTCTCCTTACTGTAATGAATAGCACTTTCTGCCGCAAAAACAAAAAACAAAATAAAAATTTGTTTTATGATTTTCTTTGATCAGTTTAGCACGGATGTGATCATATATATACTTACGGGGTGCATCCATTCTTTTACGTGCACTCCATTCTCCTTTGCAAGAATTTTGAGGGTAACTGACTTACCACTACCCGTGGGACCCAAAATTAATAAAATCGGCGCTTTACCTGAAATTCCAATATGAAGAGCAACATTAAATATCTTTAGAATCTTTAGTTCTTACTTGGTTCTATTGAAATGACAATTTCTCTTCGAATGCAGCACATTAACCTATATATGCCATACTTCACATAGTAATTAAAATATATAAAAACCAGATATGAATTACAAAGTTGTATTAGGAAATAAATCGTAAATCGTTCCTCTAATACTGAAAAGGGCTATGTGAATTAGGATTCACCGTAACAAAAAATGGAATCATCAAGTATATAACCTACCAGAGTTTTTCTTCAATTCGGAAACTAAAGTGTTGTGTTTCAGCCACTCATTGACCTCATCGATTTTCTTCTTATGTACTGCCAACTCATCTCTACTGTGGGGTTCAAAACGTTCACACCATGTCCCATCTTCTGAAAGCTTTTTAACTTTTTTAATACGATTATCAGCAGTTCCAAACGACTCGGCTCCTCGTTTCTTGCTGACAGCCGGCTTAGGTGTACATAAAAGTGAACTCGATCCCCATCTTGACATCTTCAACTGTAAGTAAAAATCGAACATTTTGTAATATTATTTTTATATTTCTGTAATATGAGCTTCTTACATAAAATCGTACTGGATACTGATCATCATGAAATGGACATATCGTACACATCAAAAACACTCTATTCTGACTATATGGTGGTCAATAGAACCTATAAAGCCGACATCGTTAAGCAATGACGAACGGCCTTATTAAACGGGTAGAGATGCTGTAGGGTGTGCCACAAAGAAGCAAACAAACAGCCATTTATCAGAACCAATAAGGGAACGTGTTCAGGAGAAAAAGGAATCGGGACATGACAAATAGTGTAGCGAGAAGCTTAAGTTCACAAAGGATATAAAGATACTACACATTTTGTCGAATATACAAAAACCAGAGCCGCTTGATAATATCCAAAAGGAATGCAGCACTAACTAAGGAAGGAACGTAAATAAACAAATGAGAGAAGTACTAGAAAGGGGTAAAGACAGCATTAAAGGGAAAATAAATCAACACAATGAATGCGAACACAGAGAAATCGGTAGATGTGAAATGAAGTCAAACCACTTGAAAGGTAGACAGTAGGAACATAAAACGACTCGTGGAGAAGGTAGAAAGACATGAAAATTAAAAAAAATACGCCTATCTGGCCTTTTACATAAAAGTTCATTTAATCTGAGTCTACTTTTTAATTAATAACTCTTCCAACAAAAAGAGTTGCTTCAATTCCAATATAAGGTAGTCATAATTCAAAACTAAAATATCATCAGCCGGTGAAAGTTACAGGTGCGGTATATTGAATCCATGCCGAAACTGAATGGCATAGGCAGCAACACGAGATCAAACTACAAGCGATCAAAAAGGCGATAAGACAAAAAATTAAGACAGAGTTTCAATGGGGATTTGGTCCGCACAAAGCAATTCTGCTGTATAGATACTACACGTTTTACGTTACGTTTTACAACCTTATAAATACTGTACAATAATGGATGCCTTGAAATAGGAATTAACGATGTTGCGAAATGGCGCAAGAAAGGCAATATGCTACAATTGTTTTCAAAACTTTAATAGTATGGTTGTATTACTTCAATCAGAGGACTGTTTTTATTTAAAAAAATCTTTATCGATGTACTAAACACAATGATCTGGTAGAATTAGTCCTGGTTTAGCAATCTAGGGATTGCAGGTTGAAATGAAGGCTAACATAAGTTGAAGCCCCAATTATAGTTAAGCGTATTTCCTGTTTACAGCACAACTCTTCAGATTTTATACTCTAGAGGTTAGGTGTACGTTAACTTGTATAAAAGTCTTGCTAGTTCTAAATGTGTATACTATTGCGAGCTGTGAAAATTATTTAAAAAATATATAAAAGCTATTCAGGACGTTCTAGCAAAATAATCGCCAGGTAAATGGACCACTAAGAATGTAGATTTAAAAAAAAACTACAAAAACAGATTTTGCTAATATTTAACATGGTAGACATGAATAGGATAAATAAGTAGTATTATTACAGACAAATCAGTCAAAACAGTGATCTCACTGTCCTCGTATTGTTCGGTAGATTGGGCTCATTATAAGATAACCTACGGGTCTTCACGAAAAACTGCTAAGTATAAAGTGGTTTGCGATAGATAAGCTCTCCATAGAACCGTTATTGCACAATTAAGCGCATAAAATTTTCTAGTCTGTCATAACTTGCAGTAATCTTTTTTTGAGGATAAAAGCTAACAAACTTTTTGTGCGTTCATCGACCAAAATTTTATATCATCTACAGAAGCCAGAAAGGAAATCTCACATGATTGATTATCCAGCAACTCGAGGTGCGCTTGAATTTTTTCCAATACACTTCACTGTTTTAAGGCTATTGCAGAGTCAACCGGCCCTAGTTTTAATGGCATGCCTTAAGAGCGCAGAGTAGTAGGACCAACTTGACCAGAGTGAACTACTGACCGTTTACAATAGAGTTATCTACTCGTATAGAAAAGTTGCGTTTGTGATATAGTCATAAATGACAATGCTTTCCTCAGGACTGTGCCTTTAATATACAGACATTAATCAAATGAAATCAAGTTTACCTTTACTAAGCCAAGAGACTTAAAACATTTATATTATAACAATGGTAACAATATTAACAATAGTTTTATGTTAAAATTGTCGTACAAATGTATTTTCTTTCTTTATCTATGGCAGAAGTAAATATGGACCATCAGGTTTACGTTATATATAAGTGTGAACATGTAGCTTATGCTATGGTAATCTACATACTGTAATGTGATCTTATGTAACTTAAGCATGCATACTGCATTACTCTACACATTCACTCTCCTCAGAGATATTGGATTAAATATATAAATAAATGATTTTTATGAAAATTTTTCTGATAGCCTGCCAGAAAATTGTCAGTTAAATGGGTATTAATAAGATAATCGCATTCTAAAAAAGGAGACTGTACAAAAAGATATGGGCAGGTAGAATAACTGTTATAGGCTGATACGAATATAAAAATAGTATACTTCATGACGCTAAATGTTTTTGTTAGCTATACAATGCACATAATACGCCATTGTTACATAGTATGTAGTTAACGCGATATTATCTCGATAGTTGTGTGACCTCGGTCTACTCGGGAAGACTTTTACAAGTTCTTAAATAGGTAAGCACTCGTTATGGTCGACTTCATACTACACAACTAATTTTTCAATTTTTCTTTCACAAAAACACAATGTTCTCTTAAGGAACCTGATATACGATCAACTTCTTTGTTTTTGTTAGCTGAAAACGAGCAAATTACCGCAAACGATTCAAGTGTACGGTGCCCGTAAACCCTACATTTCTTTGCGCGGATCTGACATGTAATGCAACTATGTTCTCTCATGTGAACTTGCATATTGTTTAAACTGGGTAAGTTAGAGCATTGTAGGTCTCATGTAATTCTGTTTATCGATGTATGGAAGCCACGTGTGAGGTCCATGAGCTGTGGGTTAAGTGTTCCTTCTCGAAAAAATGCAGATAACTGAAAACGAAGAAATGTTTCACATAATCAAATAATAAACATGCATGTGATACATTAGTAAGGTTTAATGTGACTAGGATAAACTCAAATAACGGGTTCACATAAATACATTTCGCATTCTTAGTAATTGGTGACCCTGCTGCGATGTAAGAAGTTCAAGTTCACACAATAAGGAGAAATAATATGATACGTATATATTATAAAGGTCTGTGAACATTTTTCAGCAACAAAAGTAAATATGTACACCTCTTTATTGGCTTAGAAAAGATCTTAGCAAACGAGCATATTAGCGCTTATGTCAGGAGCGGCCGCTTATGTTAGGATTGACACTTACGTGAAATTGTTTTAACTGTTTGCTGGCACTGATACTGTATCTGGCAATCTCTAATAAAACAGTTTGTGTACTGCCCTCCTACGGAGTTCTCTCGTTCGGCAAATCAAACGCTTTGAAGCGAAAAAATTATATTTAACGAGAACATGTGTATCCAGTCAATGGAAGAAAATAAAAACTCTTCACTAATATCTGTATCTAACCCTATTCAAATTAGAATAGGAAAAGATTACTCCTCTTTCTTGTATGGTATCTTCAAGAACGCGGTATTCAAAGAGATAACCTACCTTCACAAGCCGCAGTCACTGCAGCTAAATTTTAGCAGTAAATAATTCCTTGCTTTATTTCTGGTATCGCTCACACACGACCCAAGCTAATGATCATATAGTCTTCAAATGTGAGCAAAACACATACTTGAGAAATACATCTTATGAAGCTAATAACAACTACTTTTGTTCATTTCGGGATCTTACTTTGTTTTTGTTTGTACTCTCCCACGTTTGCTGATCATGATGATGTTAAACGATGTTCGATGCGGCTGACTTCTCACTGTTCGCATTCAGCTGGCAACGGAATAGAACATTCAACGATATAGCAGATTTGTTTTCTATCAAACAATTGCTCTTAGGTGAAGCTTTGTCGTGCCATGCCCTATTTTGGTGTGCAGGTGCATAGGAAAGTTCAATGTTTAATATAACAGTTACTGGTTATAATGGGTTTACTGTGAAGTAGTAGACTACTAAAATGCGAAAAGCTGAACTGCCCTTCACAATGGCTGAATGTGTTTAAGTGAGTACTGCCATTTCATAGATACACACTTGCGGGTTGCTTAATTTGTAGCATTACAAGTCAAACATCGAACTGGTATGGCTCGTGTACGGCATGCAATCATAATTCTTTTGATTCTGAATGTAGGCATATGTTTTTTTGCCAAACAGACATAAGAAATCAGTTCAAGGACTTCACTTCTAGGCTGCGAAACTGAAAAGGGTACCTTATTGATGGCGACCAAAGATAGGCCATTTTTCAAATGTTATCGATTTCTTTTGAGACTATGATCTTCTGTATTATTTGTTATCTTCCGCATGATACCATTACATGGTTAGTTCTCAATCAGATCATTCTTATCAAAAATAACAAGTTAAAATTGAATTAGTTACTTTCAAAGTTTTAAGATAGGATTTTGTTAAAGTCTATGAAAAGTTCATAGCATAGTTTGTATTTTGTACTTAATGCCGATTACCACCCGGCTAAATCAGTAAACTTTCATTTTTAAATTTTTATCGAGTTTATAAGACAATCATTAATTTTCTTGTGCCACTTTTTAGACCCCTCTGTAAACTTGTATAACGTATTTCTATAAATGCGTTTAGCTTAGAAATGAGATGATAACGATAAGCAGGTGACACTTCATTCTTAATAGATTAGGTCAACAAAGTTTTTGCGCATTATAACGATCCTTATGTATGTTGATAATGAATTTTTGACGTAGGTAAGATACTTTATGCACAACTAAACATAGGATCTACAAGCTGCGTTTCGTTTGTTGGATACTTTCCTATTTTTCGTATATGTTATACACTATGAGTCTTTGTGAACTAGATGAGCTCATGTGGATGATTTGCAAGCTTCTGTTTCTCCTAATTATACATATAATTGGTTAAAAAAGAAAAAAGTTAACGGAAACATTTATGAACGCTCCAGAGATTATAATTTCAATATCAATGCAGGTTAACTGTAGACAATGTTCCACCATCATTATAACAACTAGTAAAACGCCAATGTATTTACAAACTGATCTATTGTTTACAGTTATCTGTAGTTCAGGGGTCTACAATTAAGAACCAAATTTGAAACTGAATTAATCCTTTGAATTATCAATTCGGTCTAATCAAGCTCGGGCAGTAGTGCTCACAGGGCTACGAGACTTTTCATTAAGACAGCAATTCCATTGTACAGCACAGTTTTTAAAAATCAACTATCGGAAACGATTGCGATTGCGTGAGAACCCTGGCCGATGACCCCGGACATGTTTAGAGAAATGGAAGTTCGTATGAATAAGGAAAAAGCAATATCTTGGCTTTTAATCAAAGACACCCAAGCTATACAAGAGGTCTCAAGTTGGCTGTCAGGCTGAGGACAAAGATGAAACGTTGGCATACGAGACATATGTAATATTTGTGTCAAGGTCTAAAATGTGTAAATTATATTGAAGTGATAACGGAACATATTGTTAGTGAGGAAGTTATTCCGTGATTCGTCTGGTTGTCCTTAAATACTCTTGGTTTAGAATGTTTAATATGCCCTTTAATGTCTTTTTTTTTCTAGAAAGGCTTCATTAAAAAGTTTCCATCTTTGACTCACAACGTGAAGTTGTACGTGATACATTTATATATATATACATTTATATATATATATATATATATATATATATATATATATATATAAGGTACAGTAGACTTTAATAAAATGTAGTCTAGCTCTATTAATGGCTTTTCTTTTACTGTTGCAAATCTAGTGAACATTTCCCCAATTTGTTTTGTTTCTTTGGTTTCGTTAATATGTTTGCTTATGGTATTCCCTGCACTCTTTTGGGAGGCTGGGCTAGGACCCATATTGAACCTCCGTTTGCATTTGCTTATGACATCTTATCTTTTAAATCAAACTGGTAGTGTTTTTTTTGCTGCAGATTTTTTATTGGGTATAGCGGAAGGATCTTTTTTAGAAAATGCAGATTTACACAGAGGCCACAGTATATGATTTTATTACCCGATGGATAAGTTCTTCATCTTATTCAAAGCAAGTCGTAGCATCATAGTGGGCTACCGATATTGTTGTAAATAATAAAGGTTATTTAAAAGTCAGAATACGTGTGAAATTTTCAATCGGTACGATAACACATTTACCACCAATCGCTAAATTTTTGGTGAGCTTATAGTCTATATGCGATTGCTGATACTTGGATGGTTTCGCCTGTTTTTCGTTCGTTTTTCTGACGAGAATTTTCTGAAGGCGCTTCTATATAACTGTGGAACAGACTTCCTTTATTCTGATAATGCCACTTTTAGCAGATTAAACTGAACATCTAGGTGGCAAGCACGCTTTAAAATTATTTATAACTAATAATGCAATAACTTAATGTTAATTTGTGGAGTAAAGGATCGATCTTTCCAACAGACTATAATATTAACCAATAAACTTGAATTTTAGAACATATAATTGCTGTCCCGTTTTAGAAATCTTCAAATCGTACAGCGTTGCCGCCGCAGATATACCGTTTATCGATGCCTGCAGCCAATCTCTACTGGCGCCACATAATAGGCAAATTTCTTCCGTCAACACTACACACTGTGTACATACAAGCATTGATCAAAGTACGACTCCTAGAACAACGTAGGTGTGCTGCGTTCTTCCGCTTGAATTTTAGAAGAATTTTCAGTGAAGTTTTAAAAAGTGCTTCAAAAATGAAGGTGAAAAAATCTCGATACTGTTATTTTAAGTGCATTCTTCGCTAAATGTGCTATTTTTTTTACACACAATCGTGCGGTACCCCACCTGCAACGAGGATAGAAGACGAAGCGAGTACCTCTATGTTTTCGTTGTAATATATTTAGTTCTAACCAAAAATTCAACACCTTTCCATTCCGGTTGATGACGAATAGTTTGCCAGCGAAATTGGTTTATGTGTCATTTTTAACAATTTTTTTTTCAACAACAAGTAATTTCTTGCCTATTTTAAGATATCTATTGTTTGAGCGTTCTACGTTTTGAAGCTTATCCAATTACCGGCGCGCATTAAATTACTGGCGCGTATCCTGTTCATCGTATTTTGTAGTCACTGGAGGTCCATTCTCAATGAATCTTATTTTTTCAATTCTTGTTGATATCATAAAATCCTGTACGCAGTAAGGGATAACGTAGTCATTCACCATTATGTCGAACGTGAGATATGTTTTTGATAAGGTGAAATAGCTCGGCTAGCTCGCGAAACCATATAGTGTTTGGGTTTTCCGCGTTAAATCTACGCACAATTTAGGAATCATACCCAGATGCTCTCAATTATTTGATCTGATTCTCTGAAGTTCAGTTTCATTCCCACTGTTCATTAGAAATTGATTCCAAAATTTCAAAAGTGTTTTTGTTATATGGACATGTGTTCAACGATCTAATTTTCGTCTGACCGCAAACATTCCATCTTGCGTTGCATCTTCCTTTGCCGATTCTCAGGTGTCTTTCTTCTCTGCATAATTACTACTATTTGACGAGAGTTCCTTCGATGCGCATCATGACAGCTACTAATTATTCGTTTTTCTATCCCGTGTTAACTCACTAACAGCTCGTCTAAGCTAAATTTAGTTACAATGTTATTATATCCAACATAAATGCGAACGATCATTCGTATCTTGGAATAACTAACACTAAAAAGTTTATATTTAATGTTTTTTTTTTGTAATTTTGATTTGCTGATAGCTTAATATTGCGTCAAGTTGCAAAACTGTTTTTGCTCTTAAGCGTCTTGTTATTTTTCTGTCTAGATCACAGCATTTTACATGAAATTAAAATTGTCCTATTATTTCAAAATCATACAATTTCGATATTTAAGAAAACTATATTGACCTAACCTTCCATGCAAGGTCAACTTTGCTTTATATATTTATTTAATTCTTTTACGGTTCCGATCCCAAGTATTGAATTGGTTTTAGATATTTACACGTATTTTGTTCATTGAAAATATAAATATTTGAGTTCATATGTTTGTGGAACGCCATCACAGGTTAAGAATGAACTTTTTTTTGTTAGAAAATACTTACTTTTAATATATCAAATAAAATAATAGAAGATACATAATTTTGCTTACGTTATAATCCTATTGGTCCTGTTCCTTAGACACCATTATATAATAATATATAAAACTGTGATATGCTAGGTTACCGCCGACTTGGATTTTATTACAGGTGACGTAAAGAACGTCGTGCGGTGTTGATGTGAGTACCACGTGGCTTAGTCGACGTAGTCTAGCATCTCTAAGAATATTTTACTAAATCAAGAAGAGTTTATATAATCATAGTTTAATTTAAACTGAGTGTTCGTCACGGCAGGATAGGAGAAAAAGGGGCTGGTTGCATCCTGGTATATTTGAGTGGTTCATTTGCGACACTGACCCGTGGTAGAATCTCATACCAATTTGCTTTAGAACAGAGAAAGATACGTACGTAAACAAGAAATTGTAAGGTTTTCGCCAAGGTTGCGATTTCTCATTATCTAACAGATCTCCTTCGTTGACTACGTAGTGGGGTGGATTTCTTCGTGGGTTGCGGGTACTCAATATCGATTGCGATATCGATAATTGGTGTGTGATGATTCATTTTCAGACCGGTTGTTTGCTCGAGGGTTAGGCTAACATAATCCTTGGTGGATTTTTTCGTAAAAAAGCAACTAGCCAAATACGGTGCTTGCTTGCTTGCTTGCTACAGCTGCCTTTCGTGCAGGTTTATAAAAAAAAAAATTATTGTGCAGAGATAACAATCCTTTTGCTTGGATTTTCATTTACGTCAACGTAACTGTAGTAACCATTTTTCAAATGGTGCCGTGCTTTCATCCTAGTAGCCCATGTTGATTAGAAGTAGACATGCAAACAAAGATGACCTAAAGCAACCGACTATCGAGCCTGGAACAGCTTGTTCGACGTTGGATGTTGGATGGATGGAAGGACGAAGAACTTTCGAAAACGACTTTTTCCCACCTGGAATATGTTCTCAGCTATATGTATAAACCAACATTGATCTGGTTAATAAAAAGGACTAAGGTTTCAAATAGTTGAAAGCCTCGACATGTAGCTTAAATATACTATACTGGTAATTGTTTTTAGACAGGCACAGGTACTGCAAATGCCGAAAGAATTATTAAACCAGCAGCATCCATTGAATAACAAGATCTCTGAAGTTGGCTACATGGAGCGAGAGTCTTTCGTGATGTAAGAGTACACACAAAATAATATACAAACACGCTTTCGCCTGTTCCATGTGCTTCATTGAGGAAGGGTAGGCGATCTTTGCTTGCTTCTATCCATGTCATAATAATCGATGTCGATAATTGCATCTTAGGCTTAGTTCAGACTGCGTTGTTACTGCAGGGTTGCAAAATTAAAGTGCTCACAGAGTTGATCTGGAATGTGTCCTAAACCTAAAGGTGTCGGTGCGTAATCATGTGGGTTCACAATGGTTAACACGAATAACTGAACAATCTCCTGAAACATTTACGTTCCATTGCTTGTTCAGGAAGCATGAAATATGCCATTTAAGATATTTTCAACAGACATCTGCGTAAGTGTAACGTAATTTAAACTTTTAAACAGAAATTTGTGAATATACTTTATTACCGTCATTGCTGTACATTTTCGCATTTATATGAAATAATAGTGATTCGTCAAGGACTAGCGGTTGGTGTTAAGAAACATATACTTACTGCAGAATATTTTTGACATTTTAACATTTTTTGTGGCAGCTAATTCGAAAACTCATTTACTCACGATTTTTTTAAATGCAAAGTTCATTAACCTAAGAGTTGATTATTGTTCCATGAACTGGATAAGAAGTTAGCCGACGAATAAATTGTCTATATTAACATTAATGACACCTTTAGTCCTAGTGGAGCATGCCACTCGAGTGTAATCTAAGGTTTTTTTCCCTCAGTTCTCTTCTATTTTATAGTTTTTGTCTCGGTGTAAGGGATATTTTTCAAACCAGGGATCTACACAAGCTCTATGCTAATGATTCGAAGCTATACGGTTTCGTTGATAGTGTGTGGAATCGCTTATTGCTTCACCCGGCAGTGAACGCTGTGCATGCGTGATGCCAACAGTGGCATGACTATGTCTATCCAAGCATGTATGGCTATATCTCACACAGAATAGTCTAGTAAATACTTATTAGGTAATGTAACCAGTCGTCGACGAGTAACTTGAAGTTACAATTTTGCGGGAGCTTGACTGCAGTCTCCATATGGGCCAGATAATTTAGGCGGCATCAAATAATTAGTCTCATTTTCGGGTACCTTGTGATTCAAAAGCTTGTACTTGATATTAATCTTTACAAGGGTCTCGTTGTTCCGAGATATTCATACTGTCCCGAAGTTTGACTATCTTATAGGAGAAAACACGTAGATGCTATCAAATGAGTGCAAAGCGGTTTGCTCATATAGTAGGCTTTAGATGCGACGTAGATAGAATGAGGCATAAAAATATTTTGCCACCGGCCAGAGTGTGCACTTTATACAGTAAACGGTACAAACAGTTTGCGTTCACTTACGAACTAGACTAATTAGGTAGATCGGTGTTATAACCAGGCTGAATGACGGGATACTCACAGCAGGGACAGCACACCCGAGAAAGGACTTCGAGGTTTCTTTGAAAGTATCTTTTTCTTCTATATAAATATCTATCGCTATTAATACTACCATTGTTTATACTACTGAAACACTGTCAGCTTATTAATAATCTGCCTTTCTCAATATAATAAATGCGAATATGGCTTAGCTAAGAAAAACTGTTTCATTTAAATGTCAGCTGTATTAGCACCTTTTTAATAGACACCCATGTGAAATTCTCTTAAAAGTTACTCAAAATCACTGCCTTGTTATAGCCGCATAAGTAAAACGGTTTTTTGGTATTTAGAAACATTTTCCCACATAACGCGCTATGCTAAGATTTGCCTTTCAAAGGCAAGTTCTACCCGAACGCTGGAATTTGGGTGTAGGAACTGCATTTCTACTCAGCCCCTCGAGAACTTTTGACTAACACCCATAAGTACCAGTTACACGGGCTCATATGAAAATATTCAACCGCCATTTCGTTAGAGGAAGAATACAATAGATTACTGCCTGCGGCAATAGTCTTGCAACCATACGTAAGACTCTGGCGGAAAAAAGCCAAGAAGTTTGTCATTTATGTATCAAGATAAAGGAATACCATAACATAAGGAAAATTTCAAGCTTAAAAAGTTACCAAGAAACGCATTGAAAGTTGGCTTGCAGCAAGCGAATAGCAAAATAAATAAAAAAAATGATATAAAGCGAGAAAGGTGACAAATTCGGTAAACGTAAGAGATCTTTATTACTTTTTGCGAATTTTTTAGAACGGTTTTGTTATCAATAAATTTCGCCGTTGAACATTATATTAGCTTCAAAATATTACCGTATATATAGTTTTTCGTTTATAAAATATCATCGTTGCTGTGTTTTGAAAAAGGCACATCCACTTCAAGACGCAAGTTTAGTAATATGGATGAGACGGCAGTCAAAGCTTGGCCACAGTGTAGCACATCAGTAAAAAAAGAATTTCAAAAAGCAATTATGCATACTCTTCAACCATTAGGGATTTATAATATGGTAATATAATCATTCGTGATGAATCAGCAAAATTGTAAAAAATATATACGTACTATACTATATATATATATATATATATATATACGTAGGCTCGTGGCGGCAAGCAATACAAGAATGTTACCATTTCTCGAGTATGTATTAACTGTGTCTTAAATGCCTGATGCACTATGACAAAGAAAGAGCGATCTTCTTTGCCATTTTTGTATGTGGTACGAGAACGTTTTTTATTTGAAGAACGTATATGCTATGAAGCTTACCGATCAGATGCTGAACCACCCGTGCACGCCGCCTTTTCCTATAAGAATAATGCACAATCACTTGCAACTTTTTGCTTGCATAAAGGTATATTGGAGACAAAATACAAAAGAGGCTTTTTGCCATTTTTTTTACTTAATAATACTAGTTTTACAATACGTATATAGTTTTTTTTATGAAAGCAAAGTAAAAGAGGATCCTTCTTGGGCATATATTTGCGGATCTTATACGGTGACGGTATTTGATACGGCATCGGAGGTGTAGTAATGCAATGATTGTGGGCTTCAAACAAAATTACAGTTTGCAGCTGGATTATGTCGGCCCTTACGACATCTGATCTTACAGGTACAGCCCCACTCCATGCGAATATAACCCAAGATAAATTGCAAAGTACGATAAAGATTAGTATGCGTGTTAGAATAACTTAGGGTCAAAAACGAGTCGAGGTCACTGAGCATTTTGGGGGCAAATATCGTAACACAAGATGTTTGAGCCATGAAGAATGGTTCGTACGGCACTCCTGCATAAAAGTAGATACGCAAGATTTGAAGTCATAAACAAGTTTTGCGCAATCAGAGAATTAGTCCTATTTTTTGTTGAGGATTGATTAGGATAGTAACGAAAGACATCGGGATTTGCGGTCGCTTCATCAGAACTCCATCTTTAAGTAGGAGACAAAGTCGTACTTTATGGACCTTCAGAACATCAAGCAGTACGTAAGGAGAAAGGTGTGGAAATGCTTCGGAAGTGGCACACAGAAAATTGTTGTGTAAGATCTGAAGTCCAAAATTTCGCAAGAAAGTTGCTAGCTTTCAAGCCACCACGCACTATGATAATAACCGCTTCTTCTTTTGCAATACTGATTTACAACAACTGTTATTTTCCCTAAGATTTCAGATCGACGATACTAGTAACTGGGGATTGTGATAATAAGCAAATATAATTTGTTTTCAGGTTCACTGGCACTGTCATCATTGTGAATGGGCCAAGGCAATTCGTCGAAGCACTGATCTTAAGCAGAGCTTCGTTTCCATTCGGTTTACTAGCAAGAAACCAACTAACCATAGCAGTGTAACCGAAGGTATAAGACTGCGTGAAGAGTTGCGATGGCGACAATAATAGCACGCGTCAACGCAGCAATTAATTTCGTTACCGATCTAGTCGGCTACACAATAAGGATTAACTACTTCCTAGGAGAGGCGCTCTTTACGTTACTGTCATGGGCTTTTGGTACGTTGATATCATAAATACTGAACAAATTACGTATAAAGCATCCCATGCACTTCAATATGTTTAGATGAGATGATCTAATCGTTTGTGTTGGCAGCCAGCTGTCTAAAGTAATGCTTAACGCCTTAAGCAAAACGATTATTATGAGCTGGCACGACAAACACTTGAATTTCGTGTGATTGCCTGCCGAAAAACTAAATTATCGTCAAATCAACGGATCGCCGTTTAATATCTAAGTGCACCGAGTTTCACGTCCGGAACCACTGCTTAGGGTTGCCAAATGTTTAATTCAAATAGAAGTACCTTTAAGGCTAGTGTTACTGTTTGTATGGCCTAATGAGCTGCCCGCTGATATTAGAGTATCGAATTATTCAATACATGCAATAAAATTATCTATACAGGTCACGTGACGACGGGAACGCGGACGCTGCTGGCACTAATCAAGATGGCGGTTTTTGATCTAGGCCAGTTTGTTGAGGATCTAGGTGGATACGTGGCAGCGTTGGTGGCTGTCGCGGAAGGATTGGTCAACCTTAGTTGTCAATTAGTAGCTACTTTATTTTTTGCTTTCCTCTCAGCTCTCGCATCTTTTGTATCAGTTGTAATAGGGGTAGGCACCTCGGTGTATGTCACAATCAGCTCTATCCTGGACGCTATCAAGCAACTCACACAGGTGATTATGAAATTCAACATTACGCCAAAAACGCAGATGCTTGATGCGATAGAGATTCACATTCAGTACATAGTACGTAGTTATGAAACTATGAGGTGTTTCGAAAAAAAGGGGCCGAATACTATTCATAAATGTTTTACCGGTGGCAACATCGTTCTATTTGAATGTCTCGAATAGTCTGTTATGTTTTTTCGTCCTGCGTATAACAGAATCATGATTAATCGTCATTATTTTCTGCTATTGTCGCCGTTAATCTCTTCTCTCCTCCCTCTCTACTTCGTGATAGGTTGGCGCCAAAAGTCTAGTACTCGTGTTGCACACGATACCGCTTGGCCTGGCAAATGGTGCAAAACAAGCCTGTCGAGCACTAGTGGCTGGATGGCTGGCAACGAAAGAGGTTGCCATAAGTGTAGTCTACAATATCACTGATGGAGTGTGCCTACAATATCGCAATGCACGAAGCCTCTTTCGGGGTCTACCTGGAGAAGCTTACCTCGGCGTTTTTCTGTTAATCACCTTGCTAATGGTTAGTTAGTTAGTTAGTTAGTTTGTTATATATATATATATATATATATAATAGATGTACTTGATCGAAGAAACTATTCAGTAATCATGGTGAGTTCTATTCGGTAAGACAGTGGGTCTTCATTTGCCAAGGGTTACGTATATTTGCTCAAGACGTACTACAATATGTGTCAGAAAGCGTATGGTATCCTGCGTTGCACTCATTATATAGTTCTACTAAGAGCTGGGGATGAGTAATGCCCATTGACCTAAAATAGGAACATTACGTTGTGCTTGATCTAAAGATTATCCCACCGCTGTAAGGCTTTACTGTCTTATATACGTATATTTTTTTCTCATAAAAAAATATGTATTTTCTCGTACAGTATCACTTACATTACAATATCTATGTTTCTTAATTTATTTATAGTATGTAAGTTTATGTAGCTGTAAGCTGTTGAAATTACTTACAAAGGTCCTCCATCTAAGACTAGCTTTAAGCAATCGAAATACGAAGTATATGATACTGTTTTATTGAACAAGCTCCATCAAGCTTCCAACTGAGCCGGCTTTTGTGTTTCTAACTTCTATTGACATTATTGTTCAGGTGGTTCATTACACTATACGTGCTATCTACTTGAACCGAGCTTTGCTTCTCCATCGATCTTATCACGTAACTATGAAAGTACTGTCGACACTTCGCAATGGAGTTAACGCTTCACTCTCCTTAAGCTGGTTGCAAGCACTGCCTGATAGGATAGGCGGCACCTCCTCTGGAAGCCCCGGAGGAGAAGAGGAGATTGACTCTTCGCCTTCATCATCGTTTGAGTCGACGCCGCCCTACAATCTGAGACAGAGAAAGCCTGGTACAACCTGAATGTTTTTTATTAATTAAAATTATTTAGTTGTCGCTTTATTTCTACATTACTGAATCTTTCAAATGACTATAATATGTTGAACTGCTAACTACGTAGATTAGAAAGCGTATCTGATACAGTGGAGTACTCCGAGGAGAATATTAAACAACTAGTAATAGTTTCTTAATCGATGCCATCTATTCCGTCCATTGCAGGCCAACGGTCATCGCGTGTGTCGCGTATTGATTCTATAAAGCGGCAACTCCAGGCAGAGAAAGAGTCTCGTCTATGTGTCATTTGTAGTGACCGCCGGCGCAGTGTTGTTGTTCTTCCGTGCCGACACTTTTCCTTTTGTGGTCCATGTATTAATCAGTCAGTAAGATACTACGATCATTGTCCTGTTTGCCGCACAACCATTGAAGAGGTCGTCCCTGTCTATCAATAGCTTGACTACGCCCAGCAGCTACACTACCAATGTAATGCTATCTATTTTGTCTAGACATAATAGGAAAAAGAGGAACAATCATTTTCACTAATTGATATTTTGATACTCGTGATGACAGATGATTGTTTTAGCAGAGAGAAGATATATATAAGAACGCGCGTCAGTAATTAGTGGCATTGGATCTGTGACCGTCGTGATCGTCCGGCATCTTTGTTGTCGTGTGAATGGCAAGAATTCGTTAGTAAATAGCTCCTGCAATCAGTATTTGAGAGATTTCTAGCATTATACAATTCTATACTTGTACAGTAAAACGATCTTCATTCTCAGAAAGCGTCACTCTCTTAAGAAAAACGAGTTCCCTCGGGTTGACCTAAATTTTGTTTTCAAATTTAACTACTGCAGCAGTATTTTTATAAATATTGGCACAATCTTTTCCATGATGGTGGGATAACGGTGAACGTCGTGATGTACAATGCTTCTACAACGATAAAATGCTTAAATAATGTTTATAATGGTCGAAGAAAGAGAAACGCGTATGTTGGGCTAAGCACTTGCTACTATATATATACATATAGAAGACGTTCACTGTTATCTTTTAACACGCGTCCTGCTAATAATAGAGGTATATCCATGGAGACAAGTACGAGTAATTAAGATAAATTATAGATGTTAGAAAGACCTTTTACGTCGAGCTAGATTTATTCTCACGCCATCACACTGCTAAACATCGATAAGAGATTTTTCCGTTGAATTCAATCTGCTAAATATGCTAACCATTGTAATAGATAGGGTTGACTAGGTGGCCGCGAGAATATCGTAAATTCTGGGTTTGAATATACCCTGAATGGCGAAAATAGGTGATCGGTGAACAGGATCAGAGTGTTCGAGGCTACTGAAAGTTTTTATGTAACATCTGATTATTATCGTTCAGGTCTAAACAGGATGCTGCTTGAAAATGAATTTTAGCATAAGCACCAACTAGAGAAATAGCTGCGTTGGATATTTCTATCTAAGTAAGGCACTGCAGTAGTACCTACCCTTTTCGTAGGTTACTTAGTATTATTCCGCTCTAGCAGTCAACGAGTGGAAATCCGAAATTTGAGTGAAGACCTCGAGCAAGGAACTCAAGCTAGTGCGAATGCTATCATGTATTCGTTTTGGGCCTTTTTAAGATTAATAATAGCTTTATGAACGTTTTAGTGTGAGTGTATGTTATCTGTCTGTGTGGTTGTCGCGATAGCAGTTGGATCTTAACAGCGTACTAGCCGAATTAGAGCGTTCGTTGTCTGCCTCTGAGACACGAGTACGCTAGATAAGGTAATGGTCGAAACACACATTTGTAAAAGCGAATAAGTTGAGTGAAACGATGTGCCTGAGTGTCTTCGGTTGTAAATTCATTCTATCCTATATGAGTACAAGTGATGAGAACGGCTGCATAGACCGTGAATATATCTTTGCTATTGTACGCTTCGTATGCAGGGCTAATACCTTTCACACCACTTCCTAGGTACTTTTCTTTTCCTACAGTCAAGCGAAAGTGTGTTCAACGAGCGGCATTGTGCTACCATGTTCTCTCATATATCCAAATTCAAAGCATGGATTTATTTGTCTTTAGAGCAGCGAAAGAACAAACTTTCATTATATATATAAAAATGTTGTCCTACGTTAGGTTCGACGTTGTATGGGAGAAGGATCGATACATGCCGACAGCGTAACGTACAATGTAAAAATAAGAGTTGTATAATAGTACTGCACGTTATGCTAACAGACATTACCTCTAGCTTGGGTTATTTAAGTCTAAGAAACATACGCACACACGTACATTCTAAGATTGCATTCATTTTAGAGACGTTTCCGATTATCTGGCCGTTGATAGATGCGAGAGTCAGCTCAGGCGACTAAGTAGAAGCCGATTACTAGCCACTAGTTGACCAATTGTCGCACTACCGGACGAGATTGAGGAAATATTAAACATCAGCAGAGGCGATAAAAAAATACCCTGCTGCATTCAGGGACTCAGTCATATCAAAGATCCGCTTTGTGATGACTCCATAACATTTTCTCTAAACGCATAGTGTCTTTTGTTTAGCTTCGATTCAGTGGTGTGTGCATTTGCTGTTACCCGTATGCTAAGAATGGCTTTATGTGAAAATTCAGTTCACTGCCGATGATGCCATGATCAACCTTAATGTGCTCGTAGAGCAAACGTTTACGTTTGAGACAATAAAGGTCGGTTCCCGATTCGCCGCGTGTAAGTATTGCAATCCTGTTTAAACAGATAAATCCACTGTAATCAGGCAAGCGATGTTGTTTATTGTGATAGATAGCGTTATTTCAATTGCTGCGTACACCTATTTTTTTACGGCGACAAACAAAGTATCGACTGGGCTAAATTCACTTGTCAACTAAATGTGGCACAGAAAGCGAGCCACCCAAATACAGCGGTCTACGATACGTAGTAACGGAAATGACTTTTTATTCCCTGGAAATAGAAGCACTTAATTAAACGTTATCTACGTTTTAAATTAAATTGATTAATCTGATTTCAGATGTGGCAAGGGTAATCTAACGCCACTGAAACGCAGCGGAGTTCAGAGAAAACTCTAGGTATGCGTGCCTCTCAGAAATATTTTATGCCGATTATAACGATTAGGTAAGCAGTTAGGAGACTGAACACGTTTGGCCAACGACACAAGCCATCCTATAAAGGACCATAGAAAATTCTGGATAAGAAGGTTGAAATAAATCATTTTAGAGCGTTCTGCATTAAATAAACGTTGAATTGCCAAAAACGCTGTAGAGAAATAAGTTACTTTACAAACACTAAGCAAGTTCGTGGGAACTGCGGTTACTGTTAGATTTTGCAAATTTCGAATAACGACTTTGATAAATCCAGCTTTTCTGTATTGCAGAAAATATGTCTCTTCAGCAGAGATAATGTGAAGCAAGTAAGGCTGTATCGTTCTAGGTCAGTTTTAGTCATATTCCGTGTAGTCGGTCGCACAACGGACGGCGACATATAGTCGTCTCATTACCCATAAGAGCACAGAATAGGCGGTTTTATTCTGTCAGTGTAAGTACAAGTGGCCCCCTGGCGAGCGCGCTAGCTTACTCTCCTCAGACCCAGCCAAAAAAAACGCTGTAGAAAACAGCACGTTATTAGATAGCTGTTGCATTGTATCCTGTACCTTATTGCGTTTATCATTTTACTGAATAGCTGCGATGCTTTACCCGCATATGCGAGAGCCATCGGCCAACACCCGTCAAATGTTTATTCAAAAACTATTTAGCTGAAAAATATTTAGCAAAAAAGATAAATATCCACACAGTCCGTGTACTTGGGCAATTCGATTTGTCGATGGGTTTGTTTACGTCTGCTAAATGCGTTAGTCAAATGCAGGAGCGCCTGCAAATGCTCACGTGGGTAGAACAGTAGCGCAACTATATCATCTGTCTGATTTCTATTGCAATGATAGAACGTAGATTCCCTCGGAAATAATCGTGTAATAATCTCAAAACAGTTTACCATAAAGAATAAAAAGACAGTTTTATATAGATATGTCATGTCGGTGGTCGCCCAACAACAGACTCTTTATTACCTTCGTATGACGCAACGCCAATACTTGTCGCTCAAGCTAACAACGGTTGCGGTAAAAGTGTAACTACACACAAACACGCTGCATAATCGTCATTCACGCCATAGCCATGCCGAGACTCGCTTGGCTAAATGTTTTTATTCTGACTACAAGCAGGTCATCGGCAGTGCTATGCCAATGCGTAGAAACTCGGTGGTGACTAGCGCATATTTACTATCATTAGTATTACTATTATTAGTTAAACTTTGTCTTATGGGCCGACATCCTCTAACGTTACTTACTTAACTATTGCCAATTATCCGAACTAGTAATTAACTGAAGCAAGCTACCTCGTGAAGTAACCTAGGCGTCCTTCCATTGGGAAACGAAAATATCCTATTGGCATTTTGTCTACAATTGCTACAAAATGAACGATTAGAATGGGTTTCGGGAGGCTTTCAATGGCTTTGCTCTCGTTTGCTCGATGAGGATCCCGAGTTTTTCATTTTGGCAATCGATTATTATGAACGTCCGCGTAATAATATTCATGATCGTAACAAAGTAGTGTGACTCTTAGCTTAACGACATCGCTAGTTGATCAGCGTTCCTCGTTTGAGTGAAGGGACGTACGCATATCTTCTAGCATTTCCAATCAGTCGGTGCATATATATATATATATAGTTTACTTTCTTTTGCCTTTAAATTTTCTGCTGGTAAAAGTCGTTATGGTTCCTTGCAAGAAGCAGGGAATATTTTGTCCATACAAGTAATTACTGTGCCTCCAAAAAACAAAAAGAAAGAATAAGCATATATAGACAAAGTTGGTCTTTCTTGTTATCTTTCCATGTGTGACACGACACTTCATCTGGTCCATTCGCACATTTATTGGTCCTTCGTGGTATGAGTGTGTTTTTGCATCTTTTTCCCTTTGAAATGCATTACAAGCAGCAAACATGCAGTAGATAAAATGATTATATAAGCTACAGGATCATGCACTGACGAGATTAAAATGAGGATGCACATTACGACCACTGAGAGCATCAGAAATTTTACAATCCTTTCTGTTTTTCAGGCTTCTCTCTATAGCGGTAAAGATCCCCGATCGGTTAGAATTTGTGCCTGTTTGTGCTCGTTCGCTCTAACCCTCGAGTGTCTTTAGCTTGTCTCAGTATATATGTACACTAATTCAGGTGGCTATTTGTCGTCACGTGGGGTAGGTGAGCACGACAAATAGGCTAAGTAATGCTACTTATATTCGGAGGTTGGCAGTTAGTTACACTCCGTTTCGTATCGTTCGTTCTCTCAGGGCTCGCAGCCGGGACCAGCCCCGCTACGAAGTTCGATTTAATGTTGACTAAAAGCTCTAGGCCTATTAGTTCATCCATGAATGTTTCAACCATTTATGTCGGGGCCCCCGTGTAGCCCCAGTTATGGCCGTGCATACTGGTCTCTACAGCAGTGTCACTTACGCAATGCTTTCGTTTTGCATTCTTAATTGATAGTAGCGTTATTAATCGGTTTTTTTAATTCGTGATCGTGTTCGGGGACCGTTGGAAGCGGCTGCTAGTCCATTTTGTTCCAGACCATTTGTATGTTGGCTAACAAATGCAGTTCCATTGTCATGCTCTCTGACTCTGACAAATGTTCGGATCTGGTCGTCTGCAGCCGTCATCCGCTCCTTTGCCTCATTCTGTCTGTGATTTTCGGTAACTTCAACGTCTGCATCGTGAAGCACACCTGGATGGCAATAACCATTTAGAAAAATATTTTTATAGTCCGTAGATCCGTTGATATGATTAAAGACATATTTCGTTCCGTTACCGTTGCTCTTGCCGTTTTTCACTTCACGTAGGCTAACGGCAGTAGAAGATATCGAGTTGCTGCAAGGGCCCTTTGTTAGGTAAGCATTCTTGTAAAAGTCGGCAAACAAGAACCAAAACATGATCGCATGGAAGCCAATCCACCACATGAAACCGCGCGGATAGTCGCAGTCGGGTCGAAATAAAAGCTGGAAAGAATGTACAAAGATAGCAATAAACTGCACCATCTGAAACGATGTCATATACTGTTTCCACCAGAGGTACTTATGCATGTGGGGACCTATGGCGGCAAGTCCATAGTAGAAATACATTAAAACGTGAACTAGCGAATTAACAAAGGCGAAAAATGTCGAGTGTCCTCCGGGGGTAAACTTCACTCCCCACCAAACAGACATTGGCATCATTCCATGGTGAATAACATGCAGGGTTGAAATGTGTGAAAATTTCTTTCGGAGCACGAAGAAAATTGTGTCGGTAAACTCGATAAACTTAGAAACGAAATACCACCACGCAAGATGTGTCATCTGAAAAAACAGAAAATGCATAATGGCGATGTTAGGCGACAAGGCTGATTTGACCGTTCTTGACAAAAGACAGAATACGCCGATTGGGCAATGCCAAGATCCTAGATTCGTCTATGGTAAGTTAGTTATTTGTTGCTCAGGGGTACTGCATTTAATAGAAGCGATCGTTACATACAAACTCAAATAGTCTTCATGCTTATAACTTAACAGCAACCTTCAAGTTTTTCATAAGAAGCATTCTTCATGCTAAGTAACATCAAGTATCTAGTAAAAGACACTTAGAATAATAATTCTCGCTTAGAAAGTAAACCAAGGAAAGGTTGAACCAATATTAGTAGCTCACTAAGATTGCTTCCTTTGTGTCGCTGTAGTCGACTGGTTGGCAATACCAGTTATAACTTCCGAACCAGCCGTACACGCCGAGGAGGCCAAATATTAGAGCTGACACAAGAACCATGAAGAAGTTGTAGGTCACCATAAGCCAACGGATATTCATGGGCTCCCGATCCTTCATTAATCGGGGACCTACGACCTGAAATTATATAGAATCATCGACCATAACATACTACGTTATGTCATTTTAGCAATGACTACAGCTTCATGATTGTCTAAAGGGTGTTGACAATAAATTCAATAACAAGGTAAGACTTGATAGCCCAGCATAAGCGATTGACACCGCTAATTTAATCGTGATTATTTATCATGTAACAGATATACTTTTCACCTTTTCGTGCACGAGAGGACAATGTGTCATACTTAAAAACGGTTAATTAATTCTCTTGTAACTACCATGCATGTGGAATTATTCTCTTACGTCTATACACCTATTAGTATGATCCCTGCCAAAAACTAGTTTATTTTTCCTTAAAAATGTGTACAATTTTCGTATTAGTGGATAGTCCGTGCAAACTGTGCCACTTTTGAACTGAACATGTTCTTATAATTAAACCGAGGAGACGTTATTAATAACTAAATCGATACCATCAGCATCCAATGCGAAACGGAAATCACTATATCGTTAACGTTCTTTGCTTTCACAATCGCTATCGCCGACATTTGGCAACCTAAAAGTCATCGTATCAGGCTATCCACTGAAAAATAATTTATAGACTACTTGATTTAGCAAGTTTGCCGTAAAATGTAATCTAAAAAAGTAGTGAAGGCTGAGATATAGGCAGATGCTACTTCTAGTATGTCGGTTTGAGTTCTGTTGTACGAAGTAATAAGGAAACAAAGTTGAATTTAAAGCAAGCTTTATTAACCATTAAATAGGTACGCCTTGACACAATTACAGGTGCCTGCTGTCGGCCAAACAGTTAAGCAAGTCAGAATGATAACCTTCGCAGCATTCCGTTAAAAGACACGCTAGATCAAATTAAGTGTCACCATAGCATGCTCTTTCGTGAGTAGGCCCAAAATTGGTCCACATCTTTGACCGACAATACTGCGTACTTCAGCGCACTCTTGATGCGAAACCTTAGTCTTTTAAAGCACGATGCTGAGTCCTAGCTAACACCAAAAAAAATCTAAATAACTCGAATTCTTAATTACATATTTATTTTGGATAGCTTGTTGTGCTAGGAATTTTTTTTCGAAACGAGTTCCTATTATGCAATAGGCAAAAGAAGCATTGCAGGAATTATGAATCTCAAAAGATCCAAGTGTATAAACGCACTAATTGATAAGAAACATTCTGGTATATAATACTCTAATCACTGGCCGACAAGAAACTTCATATGTGACACTTCCTGATGATTTCTCAATCAGACATAGCATTATTTTGTATTACTTATCATATTATAAAATAAAACATACTGCTCCAAATGATCATGGTAAAACGTACTTTGACGAAATACGCGTAGAAAAGGCATATTCCCAGTGTGGGCCAGGGTGAATCCATTAGTGGCCATGATGAAGTCCGAGGATCTGCAAAATATATAAGGACTTATGCGATGCTCTGAATACATATTGATTCAAAAATCAGGGCTAAGAAGACAAGACAGCAATATCGAAACTCTATTCATTATTTAAGTAAAATAATATTAAAACAAATAAAGATGTTTTTCACCCTGCCATATGGTGAGTACTCCAAGCAACTGCGAGTTTCAACAATATAGCCTATCAGAAGTTTTTTCCAAACGCAGGTTACGAATTTTCTAATCTAAAACCTAAATGCGGCCATTGATTAAATCACTTGAATTCGACTGCCTTAGTAAGCCCAAGCGGAGAAAGCATTACAGTAAACAGAAGGGGCTATGGATTCATGCCTGCCAAAATGGGTCACTGTAACAATGAATTCAAATGTCCAGTACATAGATAGCCTCAAAAAGAGCAAGTAGATATTAGAAGAAAAACATTGTAAGTGAACTGGAGAATACTGAAAAGATAAGAAATTTTGATATCACTACTCATGGGTCGCGATGTATGGATGGATGGATGGATGGATGAGTCCGAGCGAAAAAGTAAGGATAATCAATTTTTATATTGACACAACAATGAAACAGCAGCAAATAATCGACAACTAGTTCAATTAATCAATGTCTAAAATCTTTGTTTTCCAAAAACATCATGCTTTATATTCTGCTTGGTCGTTTACTAGTTATAGTTTACCCCTTAATAGGATATGATACTGTCGAGTTCAGCACATTTCAAAAGCACCTTTTCTGAAAATGATGGAAGGTACGATAGATGATTGAAGAGAGGTCTCGCGAAAGGAGACCGTGCATTACCAACTGATAAACACTACCGAATTTTTCAAAGTTTGTGGCAAAAATGCTTTTTCACTTTACATAACAACGTTGGTGCTGCTCTGGATTTTTCAACGTATGTATGTACCATTTTAAGTTTTATTGAGAGGTAAAACGTTTGTAGTCGGAAGTTTTACCTCTTAAGGAGCAGCATGCTGCAAGAAACAGAATATGCGAATGAAAAAACGATAACCATTTATCTGACTGAGTGCTATCAAGCTGATCGAGTAGCCAAATCACTTACATAGGCATTTAAAAGTTTTATATCCAATAGTACTTCGTGTGGTAAACCTTGATTATTACTTAAAATACCGAATACTGAAACTGCCAAAGACTGAAATACGTAGAAAATACGAAATACTGAACATTTTTTTCGCCCGTCATATGGTTCTCTGTTTACTGACTATGGCTTCACAAGCTTGCAAGCAAATTGACTTGGATTAGACGTTGGTTGTTTTTGCAGTAGTCATTGTCTGTTTACGCGATATCAAACGCTTTATCTAAAGCGGGTGCTTTTTTCAAGTTCAAAAGTGCTTTTTTCCTTGAAGATTTTTTTATCTGTAGTACGGTATCTTTAGTGCCGAAGATTACCATTATCTATAAACTTGATTAGTTAGTCATTTTTTACTTGAGTATATATATTTCAACAAGTGCGTCTTAAAGCTTTGCATACCTAGTGAGCAGTCTTTCGCTCGGTCTATTGTCTTATTAGTGTTTATAACTTTGTTGTTATGATCGAAGCTTGATAGCTACTTTTCAACCCAAAAGTACGCAATGAATGTTTAATGGTTATTGCAATTATGAGAAATATCACTAAATTATGACAATATATGAAATCTATATGACCTAGGAAAAAGGCTTTGATCTAAAAATGGATAACAAAGGCGCTAAGCGCTAAAATACCCTCATCATTTACGATCCAGAAACTCAAAAATGTCTACATTCCGAACCACCCCATTTTTCAATTTCCTTCAGTTTTTTTTTATCCTTACATTAAAAAGCATGTATACGCATTCTAAAAGACGCGTTTGAAATTTGCTAACCGACACAACATGGCTGAGCTATGCAAAATTGAAAACGATAGATTTATTATGTCACGGCATATGCAGGTATACTTTTTACTTCAAAAAGATTTTCGAAAGCCCTCATAATAGTCTAAAGACGAAAATAATGAACAGCACATAACACATAAAGTTTAAAGAAGGTCCAGCCAAACACAGAAATAAGCCCTTTTTGGTAAATGCTATTTTATTACTCAAGCTTGGCAGTCTTCTGAAGCCTATACATTTTCCCAGCATAGCCTCATCTTGTTAATCTGTCCAAATGATAGTTGGCAATTTAACCTGCGAAATGAGCATTTAGAGATGTGATGACTTCCTTATTCGATGCAAATCTTCGCTCCCTGAGCAAAAACAGTAAAAGGTTGCTGAGGGCCAGATCTGATAAATATGGTAGGTGATCAATCAACTAAGGCATCGATTCGTAAAGTGTAAGAACGTGCTTTATCTTGGCGAAACAATAATTTCGGTGTCTTAAATGCGGTCGTCTCTTCTTTCAGTTTGTCAGATAATGATACCTAATATGATCCCGTCATTGGGGAAGTCCTATGATTCTAAATGAAAAAACGAGTAGTTATCGCAGGGTTAGCTTTTGCATCCCTAAATCTTGACTCACTATTTAATAAACACGTTCTTTCGAGTTAGTTCCTTCGATCTTTAGCCTTAGTTTGACGGACGCCTCAATATTCATATTTTTTTTTTATATTTACAGAAATATTAACTTCATCATGAAATATCAACATGTTCACAAATATTACTCAATACATGCAATTATATTACTACAATGTTTTTAGGAGTAACTCTATTGTAATTTTGAGGCTGCAGAGCTGGAAATTTGCGGATCACACGATATATATATATATATATGTTTTCTTTCAGAATGTGATTAATTAAGAATATGCTGGAACAAAATTAACTTTTGAGCAAGGAAAATTAGTTCTAAAATGCAAGTGGAGGTACAGAAATGCACCATGAAAAACAGGGATATAAATAAGCAAAAAGACTAGGTCATAGATAGCTTTATATAGATTCACCGACGCGACCTACATTTAGTTGAATAAGAGAAAAATTTGAAATTAATCAAACTAACTCTGGATGTTCATAAATAAGATTCCGAAAGATCAAAAGCAGTAACGAGCTTAGAACTAGAACTTGATAGCAGAATATTCTAAAAATCTGTAAAACAATCAAATGATATAACTACTTTAAAAGTTTCCATCTTATAACACATTCGGGAGGAGTCTGATGAATTTTATTTCCAACAGGACGGAGCATACGGGCATTATCATCGTAATGTCAGAGCACATTTTGATAAAAATCTTTAAAACAGCGTTTCATCAACCGTGACAAGAGCTCAATAAATGAGATCCACATAGTTCTTCTTAGTATTATTAATACAGATGGGCAATCACGCTAATTACTAACACTTTCTGCTTGTAACATTTCGTCCATCTGCTATTAAATAGGACCCTAATGATTGGTTTTAGGCTTGCTTTCTTCTTTTTGTCAGGACCCTTCGTAGTTGTTGCAAGCAAAAGGAGAATACAATGTTTTTCAGACCCTCACAACAGGATCAGGGCTATATTTATAATCCAGGAAAACTGACTCCACCCATCGACAACAATACGAAAGGCAAAGGACAAGATCTCACGAAGCAGAGCTTCCTATGTGAACTTACCTAGGTAAACAAGGTCCCATCTCGACCTTTTTCTAGTTTTTTCATTTTAATGATTGCTAACGAAAATGTGGAACAGGTCGAGAATTATCTTAGGAATAATTTACCCAACATGAAACGGATCAGCCATGTAAAGCCACGTTTGCCGGTTGTACCGGAAGTAAAGTTCAAAACATTTACTTTGCGATCACTTGCTGAGTGGTCCCTAAATTGAGAATTTTAAGATACTGGCATAACGAACTTGTTAATTCAAATTACGATAGATGTAAATTCAACACGGTTTTATTGATGTGAGATAAATCCGTCCGTTTTTTTCTTAATTAACTCATTTCTTAATGTTTCCATTATGAAAAACACCACCTGAACCAATTAAAGTAAATTCAAATATGGCTCAGGAGTTCAATCGCGGAAAAACAGTACATACGTTGAGAAATTCTCAAGTATGATAAGAGGGGCTATGCGTAGATATACTGTAAAAAAAAGAGTTTTTTTTTTTAATGGTTGTATAAATCTGATTCGCTATATATATATATATATATATATATATATATATATATATATATATATATATATATAGCGAAAAAATGGAAGAACTGTTGGAAGTCAGCTGCGTGGACTAGCAAGGCTAAATTAACAAAACACGTGAATTGAAAACAGTTCATCGTGGCGACCGAATCAATAATACCACACATTTCAATATGGGAACTAATATCCAATACAATACCGATAAGAATACATACATGCTATCAATCACGCAACATCACAACACGTTATTCTTAATTTTAGCGATTCCAACGAAAATGTTTCGAATGCTCAAATTAGCATGGCTATTGCTTAACAAATAAAAGACTTTCGAGTTATCAATTTGCTCTAAAATCATGCGTTCCTGATGACGTCCAGCATATTGAAGTTTGTATATATATATATGAAATATAATATCTAGATTACCAAATTTAGTTCCAAGTCTTCAACGTATTTATTGCCGTTCAAAAGCTACATTGTTCTAATCTCCAAATTTCAAAATATGTAGGTTGATTCTCATTGTTTAACTTAGATCACTATGCGCCTCAAAAAATGGGCCTCCCTTATTAAAATCAAGTCAAACAGGAATTTAAAAAAAACCAGCGACTTTTATGCGTTTATCAGTTCTTATGTGGCATGCCACTTGGGGGTGCATACGGAATCTTTCTCGGGACTCTCGCTCTTGTATATTCTTGTGATAGACCTCAAAAATGGCTTACCAGGAAGTGCAAATCAAAAATGTTATACGGATAACTTAAACCGATTTCGACCGATCGACAACTTTCGAGGCTACGCAGCTCTTGTAAATACTAATTGAAGTGGTTACTGTATCATAAAAATGTGTTCATCTCAGTGCTGAAGTGGGCAGTCTTGTGCAATGGTTAGAACAAAGCAATGAATATATTATGGATAACAAAAGAGTTAAACGCGAAGTTCAGATGCTTCTCAGCTGACAGTGGTCACAACCCTTGACACCGAACTTTACGTCACTGAAATAGCATGTTACTATTTCCCTGATTTGTCCCACAATTTTCAACTAGTTTACTGCTTAACATATTTGTTGTAGCTCATTTATTTGTAGAAAAACTTCTTGATTCTAAATTTCCCCTAGAATCCGGAAGGAAGGCACATCCTTCGTAAAAACACGTATCACCTATATAAGAAGGATAAATAGGTTTATACAGAATTGGGAAGCCGTGTAACGTTCAAAGAAAACTAATCATTCTCCATTGGGTTGCTCGTACCAGTATCTCAATAATACGTTTTCGAGAGGAGTTACGTTCCTTATCTAGAAGACAGGTACCACTCGCATAAAGGTTCTCAAAACAAGCAATAATATTGTCTGCTCACTCAATAATCGTGATACATAGGTAATACTGTACCAGCTGTTTTAATAAAGGAGTACTTGAATTGAATTGACAAGCAACTACAATAATTATAAAATATATACGTTTGAATTATGTTCTACCAATTTAAGTGTTTGGCAAGACTGTTAAAAGAAGTGTCCGATTTGTCCGTAAGCCGCTTGTTCCAAGTTTAATAGAAATATAAAATTCCTTTGTGACTTCCCTATATAAATCGATAGAATTTGCACTTCCATATTTGTTAATAAAGTTGATATACAAACGCTCAGTGAATGAAGTCATTGCGATATGAAAAGAAAAATGCGATAGGAGATCAAAAACTAAGACAAAAACTACCGACAGTGCTCTTATATCAAAATGCGATTTTTACGCAATTTTACGTAAAATTTGGGAAGAGAAGAGACGTTTGATCGACCGTATAGGTAAACTACAAGCAACACTTAGCATATATAGGAGGACGGAACACTTAGGTTTTTTGAAGAACTAGACTAAGAACACTGAAATATCATTGCTATTTTTTCGAGCTGAATTGGAAAAAAATATATACTGTTGGCGCCATCATTAGCTTGAAGCATTGCTTTCATGGTAGAACTTTATTTTTCATAACAGCATATATAGAAAAAATTAAGTACGCTATACTGCCTTTCTGGCATCACTGTGTTTTGCACAATCTGTGGTTCCGTACAAATATTCGACACTAATTGATATAATACTTTTTAACAAGTAACTAACAAGCAAAAGCTTGTAATGAAAATAAGGAAAATTATTACCTAGCCATACAGTAAGTTTTGTTCAAATTTTCGAGAATAGTCGACTCCATGTGAGTACCGTAAATGCGAGCTCGAGGATGTCGTTTATAATCGATCACATAACCCTTGGCAGTAATATAGATAGACCTTGCAGGTCGTCGATTTTTGTCTAAGTACGTGTTTTTATAATGGCAAATATTAAAACAGTGTCATTTACCCAACTAATGAAAGAAACTAAGGGAAGCGAATGGTAAGTAAGTACTTTCATCTATACGTCTATACTATCTTTGTCTCATGTATCTGTCTATACAACTGTCCCTCCGTCCTTCTGCCGTTAGGTCCGGTGGCACGATAGTGTAATGATTTGGCTCATTCCGTTGCACGTCACGACGAAAGATCATCAGCTTGGTAATAGCAGACGCGTCATTATCATCAACATTTACGACATGCACGTCGAACCAGCGCACAACTATTGTTAAGCCGGCTCGAATATTGACTTTGTATATCCGGACTGCGTATAGCCAAAAACACATGCGAAATGTTGAACAGTCAGTTAATTAGTGCAGTCACCGACTCCTGTAAATATATATTACAAATAAAGCTAATAATAGATTAATTTAATCGTAACTTCTTCAGTTCTGAAACAGCACCATTAGAGGTATATATGGGCGTTATTTTAGCGTTTATTAGATTCCTACAAACTAAATAAAGAAACATAAACATCCGTGAGGTTTAGAGATTTATTCATGGATTACTGAACTTTTAATTAAAATATACTTAAATGAGAACCGGTAATTTTGGTAGAGAGCCATCATCATAAACCATTAATCGCAACTAGTCTGAGTTTGTTTTCACCGACCGGTGTTGATTTTTGGTATATTCTTTTTTGCACTGCACTTTCACTTCATTTTGAGTGTATTTAAAGATTTTTGTAGAATTAGCTCCGTAGAAATAGTGGTATTGGGAGTTAAGTGAGCTGACAGATTAGGTACTTATATTTCGGAATGAGGTGAAATCTAGAACTCCTTCCAGCGCTTCGCAAGTACGACTTGCTATAATCCAGCAGGTTCAAATTAGGGTCGTTCGGCGACCTCATGTACTCATGCCAGAAGATGCTTGTACTATTAGGAAGCCAACCTTGCACCTATTGACCTCTAAAAGCCGAGGCATTTTTCTGTTAAAAAAGTGTGATCTTGCGTCAGATGCTCTCACAGTTGTACAACAATTTGTGAAACAGTGGCTAAACGTTTTTCGTATCGCGCTAGCTGTTCTGAAAGAAGTATGATAACATGATGTTTCCCTCAGCGAATATGAACTTTCGCCGAAAATTATCTCTTGCCCACAGAAGATACATCCTTTAGATTTTGAATAAGCAGTGATCATTTGTGCGATTCATTTTTGCATTGAAAAAAATAATATTGAAAAAAATCGAAGACTACCTACCGCTTCATTCTCGAGAGAATTGATATTTTATTTTTATTGTCCTCAGAGAGCATTCGTCTAACTTAATACGTGACACGTACTTGAAATCTTCGTGAATAATTTGTACTATCGTATCCTCACTCACATAAAATTTGTTCACTAACTCTCTTATCAAAACAAAGGGATAATCGGAAATGTACTTTTAAACGAAAATGATAAACGCTAAATTCGTACTGTTTTTTGTTGTGCTGCGCTCAGATCTACTTCTGCTGCAGCCGCACGCCTATTTACGATTTGACGTGACTTAAAAAATCCATAGTTCCCGTAGAGATTCGTCTAACACATATAGCTAAAATAATTCGATTGATCAACGACTCGCCATTGTTAGCTATGGCGAATTTATGACGCTTTCGTTTCGTACAAAGAGTAGCGGATGAACGCATGGTTTTTGAGGCAAACAGCCCGCCAAAGTTCGTCCCAACATAGGCGCCGTATCCTGCATATGGACTGTAGTCGGCTGAAGCTGTTCGGACTTTGTTTGACTAGATCGCAAATAGTATGCAGCAACAGAAGAAGCAGACTCCAGCACAAGGCTTTATTAAGTGCATAACCAATCAACAACAGTGCGAATTTTTTGTAGGCTAATCAACGTCAATGAAAATAGCATTTCTGTCTTCATTAACGAATAAGTTTAATGGGACGATGGCTACCACTCCACAAATTCCTATCCAAGGCCTCAGGTACACGTCATATGTAAGGAAAGTCAGCTATGCTTTCAGAGTCCAATAAAGCAAAGATTTGATCGGTGTTCTTTGCTTTTCGACGGTTTTAAATGAGGCAGCAAACCGTGTTTAATTTTTCTTCGACAGAAGATCGCCTTTCCCGATACAAAATTTGCTGATTGTTCACAACGACCCCATGTACACATTATATCATGAAAGTCACACACATGATCCCTGAGACCGCTAATGTATCGAGACTAAATGTTGTTTGTTTCTCAGTTCTCGGAATAATTTGTCTTCAGTTGTTTTCTGATTAGGAATTATTTCTCTCCAAAGTGAACTTCAGAAACGCTTTGTGGCCGCAAAAACGAACGTGGCTAGTTTCGAGTGCCGTGTTCAACGAAGGAGACGTCATGTCACCGTGCTTTTTTTTCCCGAAGATGAAACAACCACCTAAAGAGGTAATCTGTATGCTCTACAAATTGGTATACGAATTTGGATACTCGAAGTGTCTAAACGAAAGCCTAACGTTATCCGGGGAAGTGGTGCACCGGTTCGTACCAGCCGGTTGGTGTAAAATCGACTGCTTGAGAACCTGAGCATGTTCTGGAATCAGCACAATTGTTCATCGTACTGATCAGATTTGAGCCCGCTGAATCCCTCTGAATGAAGCTTTATTGAGCGAGAGTCTAACAAATCGGCACATGACAACGTCGATTTGCTCATTCGTGCGTTTATCGAAAAGACATTGATATC